TCCGAAAGATTGAGGGAAACACGAGAAGAAACAGAGTACGCAACACCACCATCAGGTCGAACCTCAATATTAGGCCGACCAATGATGTGATAGAAGATAATCGACTGAGATGGCTAGGACATCTTCTGCGAATGGAACCGAACAGAATAGCTAGCGAAACCTATCGATCTAAAGTAGAGGGCAAGAGAGTGGACGCCCTAGAAGGAAATGGAAAGATGAGCTGAAGAGCGACTTCCAGAGAAGAGGTCTTCAATGGAACGAAAGAAGGCGTCTTGTGGAAGACCGGCAGAGCTGGAGAAGGAAGAAATAAACTTCCTCCTCACACTGCTTAATGCGGTTCAAGAGGATCCATTATGATGATGATGATGAAGAATTATTGTTCCAGTAATTAGAGTTTTTACTTTCACTTACGTATATATGAAATATTTAGTAAGGGTAAGTATTGCGATCGTGAATTTTTTTGAATCTGAGTTTTCAACGGAAATAACATCTTGAGGTACTCTGAGTCCAAATAACCAAGTCTCGAAAAATGGTCTGTGTGTATGTGAACACTAGCTCGAAAACGAAAAGTCGTACGAAACTGATATAATGTATTTAAGATAGGTATATGCCTTAGATGTCCTGGCAACTTTTTCCTTAAAATCGGCTAACCGGAAGTGCCACTTTATAGCAAAGCTGAAAAACATTTTTATGATTTTCTCAAAAACGCCTCTAACGATTTTGATTAAACTCGGTGTATCATTGTATAATTAAGTGGTCTTTAATATCAATCAAGTCTTATCCCCGTTGATGTCACTTTATGGGGCTTAAATGCCCAATGTTCATATGCGTCTTCCTCTAAAGTACTTTTAATATGGTTTATTTTAGATAATTAATCATCTCACATTATTAAAAGTTACGGTTTGGTAATTGAATAAAGGAGAAAAAAATAAAAATTCTTATCCAGGTCGAAAATGAATCTTTGTAAATACTAGTCAGAAGATATGCGTACAATATATCGTTGGAAAGCGGAGAATTTTGGAAAAAACAATATCTAATATAGAAAGTTTTAAAAGGTAACGGAGAGCTGCGAAAAAATTATAAATAATAATATTTAAAACTAATATTATTTAACGTAAATCACATGTTTTCAATGAAATTAAATGAAATTTTCTAACTATATGCAAACTTTTAAATGTTTTTCTAAGATCGATTTAAAGTATTTAAAATCAACCGAATCAAGCCAATGTCATTGTTTAAAATACTATTTGATTGCACTTGTGTGAAAGAAGAAGTGAAATATAAAAATATTTCATGGATATGTTTATAACCTCAAATATATTTACTATAGAGTATTAACTCTAGATAAGATATTATATTCAAATAATTAGGTATCTATCGGCCGTTTATCCCAAAAAATCAAAAAGTGACCTTTTAGAAAATTAAATTAGGGAATAATTTGATGCATTTTCCCTTTGTGAAATCCCAACATTATCCACTTACAATTAGTGAAACAACTTTTGACCTATCCATGGCAAGGCAATGAAAATCTCGTATTTTGGTTTTAGTAAACTTTACAATGAAAAATAACAGTTTAATAACTAATAGTTAGTGTTGCCCAAATGCGAGTCTTGGTCTTGCATACTCAGTCTTGGTCTAGGTCTTGGTCTTGCGCAAGACTCACGTAACAGTCTTACAGTTACCTATTAGCTTATTACTAGAGAGATATTACTGTAAAATTTTAGATATGAGATACCTAACTAAGACTAAATGAAAAATTAGAAGAGTTAAATGCAAAAGTATATATATATATATATATATATATATATATATATATATATATATATACTGGTATTTTTTACCAGTTTTTGTGTTGGTCTTGCAACAGATAGATGGTGTTGGTCTTGGTCTTCCGAAGTGCCAAGACCAAGACCTATTTTGGGCAACACTACTAATAGTCCCACAATCCATAATCATTTATAGTTTAAATATTCAGATATACTTTCAAACCTCTGTAGACATATATGAGCCTTTCGGTTGACAGAATGACTAACTCCAATTTCAACATTCTTTATTATTAATTTTAGTGATGTTTCTAGTGGCAAAATTTATACATTTGTTCACAGTTCTATATTTCAACTCTGCAATCACCTACTCTGGAATCAACTTAACTCACTGTAGAGATATAACTTTTCAACTACAAATATCACTAAAATGACATCACTCAAAAATGTTGAAATTGGAGTTAGTTATTCTGTCAACAGAAAGGCTCAGAGACTGAAGTTGTGTGGTTTTAAAAGCAGATGGAGTGACTAGATTTTTATTGACAACCGTCGATGTAATAAATAGACTTTTTGTAATTATAATGGTCTTAATGATTTGTTATCTGTAAGCTTTAAGCTTTAGCTCCTTCAAAAATATGATAATAGCCAAGCATTGCCAGAAAATAATTTCGTTGCGCGCACCAGATTTTTAATTTTTTTTTTGCCTTAATTAAAAATTAATACTATGAAAAATATTATTATAATGTTTAATTTATTAATTTCAGTTTAATAATAGTTTAATTTATCAGGTTGCTCGTATTTTATTACTATATACGATATAAACCTTTTTTAAAAATTGAATATTGGATCTAAAATAGTAAGTTCGATTTTATTTAAAAAATTATAACTGAGTGAAAAATTATGGTACTCATACATTTACTTAACTTTCACTGTTAGGTGTTGTATTGGAAGACAGATGTAGAAAAACTCAACTTGATAATTTTAGTTTCTATTTTGGTTTGATATCTGCAATATTTCCAGAGTTTGGTAGATTTTTCCCAAAACAATATTTTTTGTCAGACTGTTATAATAATACTATTTTTATAATTTAGTATTTATTTGACCGCATCCCCCGATCAACTCCTTCATATTTTTTGTCGAAAAATAAATTCAAAATCGCCACAATTGAAAAAGTGTTAACCTTAAAATGTTTTTAACTTTAGTTTTGAATTCATCATCAACACTAGCGGATTCAGCATTTAATTTTGGGGGAGGGCTTCAGCCCGAAAGTCTCCCCCCTCGTCTTATAGATCCGCCTGCGATCATTAATTAGAGAATTACTGGTAAAAAAAATAATAATATAAAAATCCAAAATGTCGAGTAGCATTGTCCGGGGGAGTTTCATATGGATCGACACATCGTGAATACTTAAAAATATATTTTAACACCTATAATTCGATACACGGGCGGATCTACGGGGGGGGGGTGGGCTTTCGGGCTGAAGCCCCCCCCAAAATGGTAAAATGGTAGTCATGTTTTATCGTAAAAAATATTAAAAAAATATCGCTTAAAGTATTAATGTTTGTGTAATTACTTTTAAAAGGGCTTTAGAAATCACTTAGACACCATTTCACACAGGTAGGTAGTTAGTTTCTTTCTTTTTTTCCAAAGTAATTATCGTTATTTTTATGAAAAAAACAGCTTTCGGGCTGAAGCCCCCCCCCCCAAAATGAAATCCTGGATCCGCTAGTGATTCGATAAATATACTCTTGGTTATTTTGAATAAAATTTTATCGGTTCAAGGCGGTATTTTAATCATATGTAAATAAATATGATTTCGTTTGCCTTTTTTAACACGAGGATATTTATAACTCATAAATTTTACGTCATAGGTAGTCTGGGTTATATCAGTCATTTATTTTCTTTTGTTAAGAATGGAGATAAGTAGTCTTTAAAAAATACTTCAGTGTTTAATAATTGGTTTAACGTTTCTTAGATATTATTATTTACGAACTCCTCTTTACCTGATCTAGTTAATCGTTTTGTTTCTCTTTCTTTCAGGTTCGATTTATTCGTCTATATCAGAATTCTACCTCCAAAAATGTGATTTAAGAAATATATAGCTAGTCAATAATATTTAAACCACACTTACTTCTCAAGAGCACTCAACCGTTTCCGATGACATTTTAGGGGTTTGCAGTTTTTGGTTGTCCTTTATAACGCTAACGATTTCATATTATTTGCATATTTTGTCACGAAATTCTTTTTTTTTTTCTGCAAGAATAAATTTATATCCAATTCCATACAAATAACGTTTTGGTAATTTTCTGTTAAAATTTTCTTTTTAAAAAACTATTATTAATAACTTTTAAATAACAGAATAGTACAAACATTTAGAACATTATTCTTCAGATTTTTTTGGTTTGGTTTATTTACCTATTTATATCGATACTTTAAGGCGGGAAGGTAGAATTAGTAGGTTGAATGGTGGGTACATATACCATAAACAAAAATGTAAATTAAAATAAAAATAATCATGCGCTTTCATACAAACAAATAAAAAGGTTTTCATTATTACAAATACTCCTTAAAATATCCAGGTTGTTACATGATTCAATTTCGTTATTTCAGAAACAGAGCATGTGACTGACAATTTTGAAAACCACAAAAAACAAATTTTAAACTGTAATGTTCATAAACAAAAGTCTATAAGAAATATAACGAAAACAATTAATCTCATACCATGTTCGTAATGTGTTAAACGGTGTGTCTACAAACAATGTGGCCTGAAAAGTCTCAACTCAAAATCTACAAAAATTACACATGTAATGTTTTCGATTCAATTATACAAAATAATTATAATCTTCCTTTTGAAGTTTTTATCTGTTATCATTTATTTAAATATTAAAAAAAATATATATATCAGCCAAGAAAGCTAAATTATCGCGGGGAATCCCCAATTGGACATCTCTAACTTTGACCCCAGAAAAGATCTAGATGGCTGATCAAACATAATTTTTATAGACGCCTTTCCTGCCACAGATTTACAACAGTGATGCTTCTTCCAGAGTGGTACATGTGATTAATACTTTATACAATATCAAACTTGTTTATAAGTCTTATCCATTTTTAAGGTAACCTTTGTTATTTGTATCAAATGCCGTTAAATGTTGGAAGCCATTCTTTATTAAACATGCCAATTTTTTAGTACTGTTTTAGTGAGTTTCAACGTTTTAAGCAGCTAGAAAAGTAACAAAAATGACTACTGCAGATCCTTATTCTTTTCTTAAAGACTTCTTGGCTGGAGGAATATCTGCAGCAATAGCCAAAACTTCTGTAGCTCCTATAGAAAGAGTGAAATTGATCCTTCAAGTTCAACATATATCTAAGCAAATGGATCCAGATAAACGTTACAAAGGTTCTTGATTTTATGTTTGTAAACACCCATGTGTACATATATCTGTTTTTACTATAATCTAATCTAATGTTTTTATAATTTTGTCTTAAGGGATAATCGATGCCTTCGTAAGGATACCCAGAGAGCAAGGTTTTCTGAGTTTCTGGCGAGGAAATTTTGCCAATGTGATTCGGTACTTTCCAACCCAAGCATTGAATTTTGCATTCAAGGATATATATAAAAAGATATTCTTAGAGGGGATTGATAAACATGAACAATTTTGGAGATATTTTGCTGGAAATTTAGCATCTGGTGGTGCAGCAGGGGCAACATCACTTGGTTTTGTTTATCCTCTTGATTATGCCCGAACGAGGTATGTTATTTGCTTCTAAGTTTTAGAATGAATTCCAAGTAATATTAGATTTATTTCAATTTAAGTAACCCTATTGCTTCCTTATTTCTCATTATCTCGGATTCAATGCCTATCACTAATATTTTTTTAATGATGTAGAGATGGTTGACTGTTGATATAATATGAGAAGGAGTTGATCAGGGGGAGGGGGGCGGTCAAATTAATACTGAATTAAATAAGTAGAATTATTTAATTTTTGCCGACGTTTCGACTAACTTAGTAGATCTTCATCAGGGCGTAGGATGTAGCACTGCGGGAGGCAGTTGAAACACTGGGCAATGTACAGAACTTGTGAGGACCATTTAATGACTTAAATAGTTATGGCCAGAGAACATAGATTTGAAACTTTAATATTTTTTTTAAAATGACATTTGCAATTATTACCTGAATGGGGTTCAAACTGTGTACCTGTGTATGTAAAAGAATAAAATTTAAAAAAATAGTTTCAAATCTATGGTCTCTGGAAATAACTATTTAAGTCGTTAAATGGTCCTCACAAGTTCTGTACATTGAGGAGTCATCTTCCAAACCTTCTAAGCACCGTGAAGCCCAGTTCTCATCTAGGCATCCAAAATTTTCAGTAGTGTGTTACCAACTTCTTCACGTTGTTTAGAACACTTGGAAGATGATCCCAATATACAGAACTCGTGAGGACCACTTTTCGATTTATCTTGTTAAGGCTAGAGACCATAGAAATAATTAAATCATTGTTCTTTAGGAATTTGCAAGAGATAGTTAGTACTTATTGGTTTTTTTATTACTTTTAGTTATCTATTTGTATATGGTTTGATTATCATTGCAGGCTAGCTGTGGATGTTGGCAAGGGACCTAGCGAGCGTATATACAAAGGCTTATTAGATTGTATCGTTAAAACATTTAAAAGTGATGGAATAGTTGGGCTGTATAGAGGCTTTATTGTGTCAGTGGAAGGAATTATAATATACCGAGCTTGCTACTTTGGCTTTTATGACACTATTAAAGCCCATATGCCTGGTGAAATGAAGAATACTCCACTCATCATTGCCTTTCTTATAGCTGAGGTATTTTTAATTTAGATGATATAATTCTATTAGTAAAATTTGAATAAACTTATTTGTATCCTGTATTGAATTTGATTATTTTGACTTTGTGGTGTTTAAAATAATGAATGACATCTGCCATCTCCAGGGGTGCCCGGAAGGATATTTTCGGAGGGGGGAGGGGCATATTTTGACTGGATTATGAAATTTTGAAGGTGGCACATTTCGACGGGGCTAATTTTTGGAGTGAGAAGTTTCAAAATAGAGAACTAAAAGGAAAACGTCATAGAGATCACAGCAAGTACAATTGTATATGATCTAATATTTCTCTGATCCTACTTTTGCTTGCGCTGTTTTTAAAAATAGGAGAGTAATACAATTTTTTTTGTATGGTACAGATGGTTCACGCGCCATCGACATTGGGAGGGGGAGAATGGGCACCTCTGGCCATCTTTCATGATTAGGATAAATGTTTTATTTTTAAGGTATTATTATGTATCACTGTGATAGAACTTTTTTTCAATAAGATCTCGTATCCTATTATGAATGTATGTATTTAATTTATTTTTATAATATTCTAATTTTGTAATTAACAGTTTAATTTTTTATTGAATAAAGAGATGGTCTGGAATGGTGATAACAAAATAATAAAGAATACTTAAAATAGTGGAAACTATTTAGGTCTATGCTTAATAAAATAGTTTCCAATATTTTAATTTTTTTTCTCTCATACTACGGTCCAATATTAAGTATTCAAATTTGTTTTTTGTAACTATTGTTAAAGTAAATTGAAAAAAATTATGGATGACAAATGAATAAATAAATTTTATTTCCTAATATATTTTATAAACATATGTTTTTTATAGCTTATCTTTATTTTCTTTAACTCTAACATATGCAAATTTAAAAACAAAATAAAATAAAATTTAAATGGTTTGTTTTAGTATCTTCAAAGTGTTATTAATTTATTGGGGAAAAGTGTTAGAAAAATATTCATTTACTTTCTAAAATATATATGAAAATTAATTTCCAATATTTTTAAATCAGTATTAAAATTTGACTTTCAAAAACTGATACACATCTCCCTCCGAAAAAGATAAATAAATGAAAATTTTTTTAATGTCTAAAGGAAAAGCCACTTACTTCACAAGTGATAAAAAAACAAAAAAAATTATTTTAATTAGACACAATAATTGAGAAATATTGATTTAATATTTTTTATTTTATCATTGAATTATCACATTTGTACTGGACAGGCAAAGACTATCATAAGAAGATGTATTTTATATTAATAATAAAAACTAATTGAATACTTGATGGTTGACCGTGGTGTATTATTGAGTAAGAAGGTGGTGGTCAAAAAGACTAAAATAATGAAAAAACTATTTTATTTAAAGCCAACATGTCGACCTGATTTTGCAGATCTTCAGAGCAACAAGATACAATATACAACAGGAGTCCAAGATGCAAAAGGCTATAGAAAAATGTGGAAGTTACACAATGCTTAGATAAAAAATATAAACAATGTGAATAAACTTGTAAACAGTGTGAACAGAAAGTACATAGAAATATTAAGAACAATAAACTATATAAATAGAGTAAACAAAGTAATTGGAAAAACATGGGGAGGGAAGGGAGGAGGAGAAGGAAACGCATGGGAAAAATAGTTGACCTGGTTTGGAGGATGGTGAAGGTAAGTAGTAAAACAAAACATAAACCAGGAAATTAGTTCATAGATCTTACCTCCATCATCTCCCAACCAGGTCAGCTATTTTTCCCATGTGTTTCCCTCCCCCATGTTTCCCCAGTTTAAACCGGAATTCCATACTGCTTGCAACCGAAGTCTCTATATTTTTATTTTTTTATATATTTCATTTTTCTTTCAATCTTTTCCAAAGTTTTGTAGGATTATATCCATCGTTGCCTATATTATCCATTCTCCTTATAACATTCAATTGTTTTCCTATTCCCAATAATTATCACCATTTATTTACTTCATTTTAGGCTCTTGTTACTTAGTTATGCTTCGTTGACTCTGATAGCTTATTGTTCTTAATATTTTTATGTTCCTGATATTCACTCACACTGTTTATAATTTTAATAAGTTTATTCACATTTTTTATCTAAGCATTATGTAATTAACTTCCTCATTTTTCTGTAGCTTTTTGTATCTTGTTTGTTTTATTCCTGAAGAAGACCTGCAAAGTCGGGTCGAAATGTTGGCTTTAAATAAGTTATTTTAGTCTTTTTATTATATTTTATTATTTTGAATAGGTTTTTAATTAATTGTTATTTAAACATAAATTTATATATTTCAGGCGGTTACAGCAACTTCGGGTATAATATCTTACCCATTCGATACAGTCAGGCGGAGGATGATGATGCAGTCAGGTTTGCCTCCCGATCAGCGAAATTACAAAAATACTGCTCATTGCTGGGTCAAAATCGCTAAAGATGAAGGTCTTAGTGCATTTTTTAAAGGAGCTTTGTCCAACGTTATTAGAGGAACTGGAGCAGCCCTCGTTCTTGTTCTCTACGATAACGTTAAAGCACTTTTGTTTGGGATATAGGATAAACGAAATGCATTGTGAAATTGCCATGTGACTATGTATGATTTTGATTATGTTTTTAAGATTGTGGAAAGTACATTGTTAATAGTTCCTAGAGGAATTTTATTTCTTAAATTTGCTTATTTTCTTCCATTTTCTTTGCCCCTCCTTTATTTTTTTTTATTTTATACCTGCGATACTAAGCATTTTACTTTTATATTGTTTGTTCAAACTAAATGTTTGTGTAAATAAGCCCGTTCTTTTCCTTGATTTGTGTTATAAAATATAATCAAATGATTCTGGTAAATCTGTTTTGTTTTTTATGTTTTATAATAAATTATTTTTATTTACGTTTTTTGTTTATTTAATTAATTATGAAGCACAATTAATCTTGGGTTTAGAATTTCTTACATGTCATTTCACTGTTCATGGTATTAAAATTAAGATTGCTTTGACCAATTATTTTATTACATAGGTCATTTGTTAATACAATTTAATATAAATTAAATTTATATTATCAATGTTAATTTTGTCTAGTATTGGGGTATTTGACAATAAGGGATAGTCGACATTGCCACCTACTGACGGTTTGGAGACTTAAGCAATCTGGTTGTTCTTTATTATAACATATTAAAATATACTAAATATTCCTTATGAATGTCATATTAATAATTATAAGTAGAGTTAATAAATGAGGTTATATAAACAACAATTTAAGTATTAGTTCTATTGATGTTTAATGACAGGACTTAAGTAAGGTATTTATAAAATAAACTATGACTATAACATTTTAAGAAACATAACACATTTAAATCATATAGCAAAAGTATATTTTAATAGCATTGTTAGCAACTTATACCACAAATACCCTGGTTTATGTATCAAGTTGAACGAATATCTGACTAGTAATATTTTAAAATCTAAAGTAACTTTATTTATTGATTCATAAATTTAATTTAGATTCTTTGATTTTAAAATTTATTGTTGATTTATCATTTCATCACATTGCTTTGGCACAACATTAAAAACTCTAGCCTTTAAGATATTAAATTTTTTCTATTCCTTAATGAAAGAAATATTATAATTTATATATCTCTTAGTAAACACGAGCCGAAGTATGCCTTGTTATTGTTGAAGGTTTCTGTAATAATTTCTAACTAATGAGATTATCGTCATAAATAAATTTAATAAGTTTATTATGACTATATTTTTTTCTCATCTGTAAGAGTTAAAATTAATATTGTAGAAAAATTGAAGTGTAATTGTACTATAGTATGGATTAAGTTGGTTATCAACCAAAAGAAAATCAAAGTACCTTCAAATTACATTATTTTTTTTCCAATACATCATGCTCAATGTATCTTTATTTATATGATACTTAATATTATCGATCAATTACTTTTCAACATTATGTAAATATAAGATGATTCATGACTGGTGAAAGACAGAATTTAAACATAGCTTTTGGAGTGATGTCACCATCCTTAGTCCTCGAATACTCCATTCTCATCAGAGCTTAATATTGTGACTTTGAAGATGAATATTTTATGAACCATTGATCAGTAGAAAACTTGTTCTCATCTAAATGTTTTGTAATAAGTGGTGAATAATTGGAATAGAAAAAATAAAAATACCCCATTAAGCAGGGATGACCAGAGAAGAGGATCATGATTTACAAAGATCTGCTGGATAGGAGTGTCCAGAAGGGGGTTCCATGGTGCAGGTCGTGCCATCAAAATTTTTGAGGGAACATTTTGACGGGTTTTTGAAGTTTTGAGGGGAGCGAATTCGGCCCTAAAGCTCCTCCCCCCGTAGATCCGCCCGTGACTCCATGGAATAAATTATTACACAAGTCATTGATATTGTGCTAAGAAAACATCGTTGGGCAACAACTGTCGACCATTGGAAGTAATAGGAATAACAGCCATAAAAGTTTGTTTAAAAGAGAAAAGTTTGTAATTACTGAAGGAGTTTTGTTTCCGCTCAAGTGATAGTCAACATGCCTTTCCAAAACCACACTGAAAGTTCGGGATGTGGTACATCTCGCGTAATATCCATACAAATATTTTATTTACCATATTCCTTTTGATGTCGTATAAGTAACATTTCAAGAAAATCTGTCTAACTTGATGGATTATTACTTAACTTGAACGTTTTTCAAAATTGGAACCATCTTCCTTTGAAGACAGATTCCTGGAAAAACTCTACACTGTCAAATTTAATTAAAATGATCCAGGAGCCAAGTTTATGTGTTTTGGTAGGTGTCTGGTGAGAGCATAATGGATGCTATTAATATTAAGGAAGAACACTTAAAATTTTTTAAGATTGATTGATTCTCCCACGTAATATATATGATCATTAGATTTTGGTTTAACAACATTTAATTCCTGGATTCATTGTTTCGAATGCTTTTTACAACTTAACCATTTGTGGACCCAGGCTTTAATTTTGCGGGTTTCACCCCAAAAGCTTCATATATATATAAAAGTATAATTACTTAAGAAAAAAAATAAAGAAACCAACTAACTTCATGGAATGGTGTTTAAGTGAGTCTTGAAGTGAAGTTAAATGTAATTACACGAACAATAATACTTTTAGAGATAATTTTTACTTATATATGAAATATATAGTAAGGGTAATTACTTTCACTCACCTATATTTGAAATATATAGTAAAGGTAAGTACGTGAAAATGTTCGTGTCTGAGTTTTCAACAGTTAACGAATCGGAGGCAGTGGAGTCTTTATAAGTAATGCTTTTATTCATAAAGTTACAAATGGCATCTAAAATACAGAGTAATATACTATGGGTTGACTACATGAGTTCACTCCAGGTCTCCTACAGTAAAGGGTATGACATCAAGAGAATTAACTACATGAGTGGTTTGGTCTTAGAAGGATGGGGGTTATATACTCAGGAATAGTAGGGGGGGGGGGTGAATCAATTCTGGACGGTCTAGGAAGCATGTAAATGAAGTTATAACTATTAAGAATTGATATGAAGTCTGTGAGGAAGTGCTCTTTTGTTGAAAACGGTTATTGTTCCCTAAGTCTTGATAAGTGTCTTCTGTCCAGTCAGTACATTCTAGATAATTATTTCTAAGCTATCAGAGATAGCTTGACCTGGCTATCTAGGGCTTTGTGCTTTTATGATTTGAGCCGTGAGAAACTAAGAGATAAAGCATGATTCACCAATTGGTTTATTTAACAAAAATAAAAGTTAAATTAATATTATTATTATTATTGTTTGTTACGGATTAAGTCCATTCAGTAAATAACGGAAATACGTGTTTTGAGGTCTCCTGAGTCCAAATGACCAAGTCCCACAAAGTGGTCTGTTTGTGTGTGTGTATGTATGTATGTGAACAGTCTAGCTCAAAAATGATAAGTCGTAGGAAACTGATATTACGTATTTAAGATAGGTATGTCTTAGATGGTACAGCAACTTTTCCCTTAAAATCGGCTAACCGGAAATGTCACTTTATATTAACGGTGAAACACATTTTTACAATTTCAAAAACGGCTCTAACGATTTTGATTAAATTCGGTGAAGCCCCTTTTCAGGTGCCATTGTATAATTAAATGGTCTTTAGGTCTTATCCCCATTGATGTCACCTTTACAAAGCTTAAACGCCCAATGTTCGTATATGTCTTCCTCTAAGTACCTTTAATATGGTTTATTTAAAAAAAACTCTCTTTTATTGACAGTAACTATAAAAAATGGCTAAATATGAAGTTTGAAAGAATATTATTATTTGAAACTGGAGAAAAATGCTTATCCAGGTTGAAAATGAATCTCCGACAATAACAGTCACAAGGTATACGTATAAATACATCGAAAGCGGAGAATTTTAGGAAAAAGTAATATTAAATAAATAAAGTTGTAGAAGGTAACGCAGAGTGACGAAAAACATATAAATAATAATTTCAGAAAACTAACATTATTTAATGTAAATAACATTTTTCCAATGAAATTTTCTTACTAAATGTCAACTTATAAATTTTTTTCTAAGTTTGAAAAAAAAAATATTTAAAATCCACCAAAATATGCCAATGCCATTGTTTAAAATATTATTTAATTGTACTCCTGTGAAAGAGGAAATAAAATATAAAAATATTTCATGGATGTGTTTATAACCGTAAATACTTTTGCTCTGGTTTAATAACTCTAGATATGATATTATTTTTAAATAATTAGGTATCTGTCGAACGTTTATTCCAAAAAATCACCAAGTAACCTTTTAGAAAATTAAATTAGTGAATAATTTGATGAATGTTGGACAATCCCAACATTATCCACTTACAATTAATGTGACAACTTTTGCCCTATCCATGGCAGACAATGAAAATCTCTTAATTTCATTTTAGTAAATTTTACAATGGAAAATAACAGTTTAATAACTAATAGTCCTACGATCCATAATCATTTATAGATTAAATATTCAGATGGACTTTCAAATCTCTATAGGCATATATGAACCTTTCGGTTGTCAGAATGACTTACTCCAATTTCAACATTCTTTATTATTAATTTTAGATATGTTCCTAGTGTCAACATTAATACCTTTATTAACAGTTCTATATTTCAACATTACAATCACCTACTCTGGAATCAACTTGCTCACTGTATAGATATAACTTTTCCAACTAGAAATATCATTAAAATGACATTGCTCAAAAATATTGATATTGGAGTTAGTCATTCAGTCAACTGAAAGGCTCAGAGACTGAAGTTATGTGCTTTATAAAACTAGATTTTTATTGCCTACCGTCGATATAATAAATAGACTTTTTGTAATTTTAGTAGTCTTAATGATTTGTTATATGTAAGCTTTAAGCTTTAGATCCGTTTAAAATGAATTTAAAAAAAAATATAATACCCCATTGCCAGAAAATAATTTCTATTCAAAGTGGAGGGGTAAGTGAAGGTTGTGTGTTGACCGTACCAGATTTTTACTTTCACTTACGTATATATGTAATATATAGTACGGGTAAGTATTGCGATTAAGAAAATTTTTTTTAATAGGAAATGGTTATATTTAATCATTTTGGGGCGGGCTTCAGCCCGAAAGCCCTCTCCCCTCGTTGATTCGCCTGTGTGCTTAGGTATTAAAAATAAATAAATGTAAGACTAGTATTGAAGAAGATTAGGTGCAAATCAAAGGTTTAGGTGGCCGACGACGATGGAGATAGGAGCACAAATTGCTCGATTTGGAACAATATGTGTTCGATTTCTATCTGGTTGGTATGTATGTATCTTCGTTTTCCCGGGAAATGGTTCTTGGCTTTTCTACCTTGAGCCAGCAATCTTGATGTGATTAAGACAAGGAGTTGACTAACAAAAAGATCGAATTCTCGAATTTACAAGGGACTATGATCCGGAATATGAACTATGATTAAAGTCTGAAAAGGTGATGTATGGATAGTTTATTTCAACCAATGGTGGAAACACTGCTCGCCATATCTTAGGCAACCCTGAACTGAATACTATTTTAATATGACTTTTTATACAGCATGTATTTTAAGTGCCAATTTTTAGTGTTTTTTTTCGCTTTTTAGTATTTTTTTCCACCTACCTGAATAGTTAATTGGCAATCTTCAATTGATAACTGGAAGCAAAAGAATACATCGATTGAAACATCGATGTATTTGTCACACCCCAGGTTACAGCCTTGTTATCTTTTATCAAATATCTGGTACATTTAATTTTTAAATTCGTAGAATAAACCTTTTAAAGGTACATCGGTTTATTTAGAAAACTCTACTGTGAGTGCTATTTAATTTCAGCAGCAAATAATGGCATCGGTTGCAGAGCCATTAACTTTAGCTAGAGGTATCATATTTTTCAATTATTTAGTACAACTTTTGATATTCTATTAAGTGCTCAATGATGAGTTGATACAAATGATTTTTTTTTACTCTTTAGATGTCGCCAGAGCCGTGGAATTACTGGAGAAACTACAGAAGAGTAAGCAGTTAGCTAATTATTTAACTATCATTTATTTTTTATGATCTCCAATACATCTTGGATGGTTTGTTTGGTACTAGTAAAGATTTGGTATAATGGCTGGTTTCCTGATGTCTTTGAGCACACCGTAGATTGAATCCTGAAACAATCTGAATGTGTCAGAATGTATATATATAGAGGACTGATATTCAAACCTTTGTAGTAGAATGTCTATGTAGCTTTGCTTAAGTTAGCGTAACAATTCTCTTTTTATTATTTATAAATAATAATATGAACTGGCTCTTCATAATATTTTTTATAGTTGAAACTTTTTCTTATTTCTGGAAAATATCAAAATGGATATACTTTTTTATATTTTAGACCAACGATCAATAACATCCTCTGTATTCTTTTAGATTATAAAGGACAATTTATTACACTGACTTAAGAAATTAAATTTATAAATCTTCTGCAATCAAAATTAAATTTATATTTTAAATGCTTTTCTATGTATCCTACCATGCATAATTAATAGAGATTATAATAATTTTATATTTCTAACATCATAATAAAAACACATTTTTTTCAGTTTTTCCTCAGTAAATCACTTTCTGTGTATTTTAAGGAAAAAAATGTCTTGAATTTGTATATGAACATGACTCAATACTCTACTACTTTTCACATTCTTCTGGCTGCTGTTATTGTGCTCAAAGTGATCTCGAAACCACCCACTATCTTATTGAAACAAGCACAAGATCTCATGATCACACCGTAGATAAAATTGGGGTCACTTCTGAGAGTTGACTGAACCGTCTGCCAAGGCATCGACTTCAACTGAAAAGGGCCCACTGTAGGGTTGTTTATTCCTTTTGAGCAACCAGAAGTCGCAGAGATATAATTAAAGGGGGGTTATACTATGAATTCGTAATCAATCCCTAGCTATTCTCCAAATCCCATTTAGAGCATGAATATGGGATCTTGGACCTCACATAAAATTGGAGTGACACTTGTACAATATTAATGATTTTTGTTTGCCCTGTTAAGTAAATTAATTTTTATTCAGAAGGTATTGGCATCAAAACCACATGTATGTGCCTGATTTAAAATCATCTTTATATGTTAAAAAAAAAAAAAAAAAAAAACCTGTACCACTACAATCCTTAAAGGTTCTTGGTTTCTGTACTATTTAGGGAAAGTACTGTTTCTCAGTCAACGGTTGTACAAGGAGGTGATTTGACTGAGATCACCCTCAACCTCCAGGTTTTTCCCCTTAATTAAGGGTACCCACTTTATAGAGGCTGGGTATGCTCCAGGGAGGGTCTCCTGATTCCAGGATCGCCCCACATCTGATGGCACAGAATAAATAATTATTCTGCCATGAGCCGAGGTTCGAAGCAGGGTCCTTGAGCATTGGAAGATCAGTACCCTACCACTGAGCTACCCCACTCCCTTCTTTATAAGTTAGTTTAATGAATGTATTTTAAAGAAATCTATAATTAATTAAAAATAAACAACAGTATAAAAAAAATCTGACAAGTGTTATATAGATTTATGTATAGTGTATGAGTTTTCCAAATTGAATAATCAATGCTTCATTTATCTAATAATAATGCTGGTTTAGTTCTTATTTTGCTAAATTGGGAAAAGCTCTCAGTGGTAGTTCCATTCATATTGAATTTTAATAAACTTCCAGTCTTATATTCTTTACTATATTTTTTTTATTGTATTATTCTCTGTTATGATGTATGTAATATGATACTATCTATTATAATATATATTTGTATATATATCATCTGTATCTGTATACTGATAAAATTTAATATATAATACGGCTTATTGAATTTAAAATATATATATTTTTTTTAGGTGGTGAAGTTCCTGTAACAAAAATAGCTGCTCTCCAGAAAGTGCTTCAGAGTGACTTCCTAAATGCTGTCCGTGAGGTGTACGAACATGTCTATGAAACTGTTGATGTCCAAGGTTCAGCTGATGTTAGAGCCTCTGCTACTGCCAAGGCAACTGTTGCTGCATTTGCAGCCTCCGAAGGTCATGCTCATCCTCGTGTTGTAGAATTACCTAAAACTGAAGAAGGGCTTGGATTTAATGTAATGGGTGGAAAAGAACAAAATTCTCCAATTTATATTTCAAGGATCATACCAGGAGGAGTCGCAGACCGTCATGGAGGACTTAAAAGAGGAGACCAGCTTTTGTCTGTCAACGGTGTTGTAAGTAAACGATCCCAAAAGAAATACCTCTTCGGAAACATTTTGTGTTTGTTTTACTAGGTTTATTTGCAGGATTTTTAATTCCATTTTACCCTAAGTACTTTACTGCAATGGTATAAAACATTGAGAGTTGAAGGTTGATACCATAATTGTTCCACATACCATCTCTGATTCTAAAGAACTAGAAATAGCTTCCTTCCTCTAACTTAGTCCATCAGTCTCGCTTTCTCAAGCACGTATTTTTTCTATGATATGTTCTCACCTTTCCCAGTTTTGTTTGCCTTTCACTAAATAATCTATAGAGATTAATTAAGCCATTAAAAATCTCATGTAAAAAAATTATCTAGAAGGCCCTACGAGATGTTTGTTACTACTATTACTAGCCCCAGGATCTATAAATGTTGACTATTACTCATAGAATGTTTTTCTGACAGACTTGGGGAAGTGCAGCTAGTTTTGACATTTTTAACGAGAATCACAAATATAAATGTTATTTTTAATTTGTTTGTATCTTCTACATATATAATACTTAATATTTTAACTACATTGTCACCCACTATATCTCTGATATCATCTTTTTATTTCTGTATCTGACAACTTCTTCTTATTTTATATCTATTTGTATTTATTTTTTATTTTCAACATGTTTTGTATCTTTTGTAACCCTGAAGATGACCAGCAAAGTGGGTCGAAACGTCGGCAAAAATTAAATAATTACTATATTTTAATTTAGTATTTATTTGACCGCACCCCCCAATTAACTCCTTCTCATATTATATCAACGGTCAACCATCTCTACATCATTATAAATGTTGGAAATGGAAATACATGAGCTATGGCAGGTGTAGTGTATCCTCTTTATGGAGGCTTGGTGTGCGTTTTTTTTTTTTTTTTTTAAGTGTATTTAGGATGGATGTAACAAAATGAATTTTTATCTACCACTATCGGACTTGACCCTAGTAAGAGTTTATGAAATTAAATCCAACTACAGTTATTTGTTCAACATTTGACTTATTTTGTATTTGTTTATTATGACTTATTGCATTTAACTCTCTTATATAATTCTAACTATAATAGGAGGTATGGACGATCTATTGGTTACCAATTTATTTGTTCAATGAAGTGGAAGTTAGACTTATTTCTCTGAATAATGTGGCACATACTGACCAGGATTACAAATAACTACAATACTGTTTTAAATAGTCTTGTAAATTTTAAAAAATCATCTGATTTTATGGTTAATGAAATGTTTTCAGTTTTATGCAGAAAATACAAAATTTTCTTTATTTGACAAGATTTGTCTTAAAAGTTCATATATTGAATTAATAAAACATTATATCAGGCACTTCAATATTGTTCTCTTAAAAATCTCTTACTGCTTAAATGTTTGATCCCTTTGAATGATCTGAGATTCAATAAACAACCAAATCAAAAAAATAAAATATATATATAATTAAAATTATATGCAGGGTTAGTTTAGTCCTCTTAAATCATGGTGACTTTTATATGTGATACTGCTGATTTAGTAGATTAGCGTAGTGATCGTAGCTGATTTAGTGATCGTTAGTAGATTAGCGTCAGGAAAGGAGGAATACTTTCAGTTATGATAGAACTGTTGTCATATGACTACAAAGGGTATTGACTAGATGATGTTCGGGTAGCAATTGACTGTAAATTGTAGACATGTGGTCTTGGTGAGGGCCGGTAACTGACAGGTGAGGGAAAGACTATCAGCAACGCTTGGGTTACCCCCACTTTCTTAATTACAACGTTTCAAATGTTTAAAATTTAAATGTTCTTAGAAAAGTTACAATATATTTTCCACTTTTAGGAATCACTTTTGTCAGTTTATATTTCAAATTCTAAATATCTATATCTTAACTAGCTATTATAAATTTTATCTTCTATTTTAAAATAGTAGTTTTAATGATGGGTTTTGAAACTTTTAATTTGTTTGTATTTTATATAATAGCATTGTTTTTTTTCTTTTAGTCTGTTGAAGGAGAAAATCATGAAAAAGCTGTCGAACTTCTGAAGCAGGCTCAGGGATCTGTAAAACTGGTCGTTCGTTATACACCAAAGGTCCTTGAGGAAATGGAAATGAGGTTTGATAAACAGAGGGCCGCTAGGCGCAGGAATCCGTACTAAATATTCAATGAAATAACATTTTGTTGTGTATTATGTATTTTACGTTTCAATTTGGTGCAGATTCACAATATTCATGCTTATTGTTTAATAGGTTTGCTCTCTTTAACATTTATTATTAATTTTAATATTTCCTTTAATATTCATATTGTTGGTTCATTACAAAAAATCAATAAGTATACATTTTTCATGGAACTAAATTTTAAAGTTCATGTTTGTGAATTTTGATCATATTGATCGATGTGAAATCTTATCAAATGGTCAAATATTACACAAATATCATTATATGTTAAAAACAGATAATGTGCATTATGATTAGATTTGACATAGGGAAAATTCATCAAAGTACTTAGTGATTTAAATTTCTGAAATGTTGCTTAATGCCTTTTTGCAATAAACTAACGATATCTATTAATATTAAATTGATTTGAAAAAATTAAATAAATTTCTTATTGAATGAAATTTAAAAATTATGTAGTAATCTGTTTCATTAGTTGACTGATTACATCAAAGGTTCTCTTTGTTATCTGTTAATATTTTAATATTCAGATCTGATATGTATGTAACATTTATTTATTATGGAGTTCTGTTTTTCATTCACAAACCATTCTTATTCTGTTTCTACTTTTCAGTTAGTCAACAGAGTTCTTATTTATCAGTATTACTAACATTATATTCTCAGAACTCCTAATCTTTTTTTTTTTTTTTTTTTTTATTGAAATATCTATACAATAATAGGTGATCTTACCATAAATTGTAGGTTAGGTTCTCATACGAAAAGTAAGATCAGATAATTGAAAAAGTGATTAAAATACTTTCGAGTGCTTAAAATCTAAGTCATGGATTTTATTATGTATAGATGTCTGTAAATTTGATATTTCCTTCAGAACTATGACAAAATTGGTGTTTTACAAACCTCGTAAATTAGAAATTTATATCATGTTGGTTTTTGTTAGAATTTACTTCATCTTGTTATTTATATTTAACCTATGGTTTTTGTTGTATGTCTAATAATGTAAAACCTAAAGTATTTTACTCTCAGAGTTATCTATAAGTATTACAAAATGTTTATAAATGCATCACATTATCATTTTAAATTGCACTTTTTTTTGTTTCTTATAATCTTGATGTGCTCTGTTTTTTATTTATTTTGTCAATTTAACTGATTGTTAAATATATTTGTATAATCTAAATAATTGTTAATGTAACCAAGGTGCCAGTATTCCTCCTTTATTTATTTTAAGACTCATATAAATTTTTTTAAAAAATGATAGAAAATATTATTCATAGGCACTGTTATCTCATTAATCTAATCAGTTTAGATATTAGTTCTATTTTAATGTTCATTATGTATAAACAAATAAATTAGAATTGTATTTCTTGTTTATCAATTATTGACTATAAAAAATCAATTATTTATTGATCAATGTCAGTAATGAAATAAATTGTGTAGTAACAGTCATATATTTTTTTTTTCATATTTTAAGTATTGCAGCAATACAAACAGAATTTGTTAATTTAATGGTATGAAAACTATGCATTTATTCATGATGTCATGTTGTTAGAATAAATTACAAATTTATTTGTGTAATAAATTAAAACAAAGTTTTCTCCACTTTACTTGATCACTTCTTTTCCTTTATGTATTGTTATTGATATATTTTATTAAATAAAAATTTAGGTGTTCAATATTACTGCATTGGTATATTTTTCATTCTAGTGGTGATTTTATTTTCATTATAGAAACATTTAATAGTGATTTCTTGAGTAGGCAATACTGAATGAAATTTAGTACATATATTTTTTATAATTGAGATCTGATATTCATGCTCACCTCCACCATAATACTGTTTCAGGACTGTTTGAAGTATTTAAAAAAAAATTAAAATGACAGCATTTTCAAGAATTTTTTTAAAAATTTCTTTAAGGATATTATAGTTTTAAAAACATTTTTTTTTTATGAGTAAAAACTTAGCATTGATCATCTAATAGTATTAAACTTAGATTACTGTATTTAATAATTATATAAACATAAATTTTGTCTTAATAATGTAGAATTTAATTATATTATCATTTTTGCTGATGTCTGTATTTTTTTTTTTTTTTAATTGAAAAATGCAGTTTCAAAAGCTGACAATTAGATATTGTACATTCACATTATTATTATATTTTTTTTTACCTATTATATAAAACCAAATAAACTCATTCAATGTGGGACATATAACAGAATAACAGGGCGATGGCATATCTTAAGAGCTACAAAAAAGTTCATATGAACAATGGTCTGATTTTCTGCAGAAAAGTAGAAATTTACAATTTTTTATCATAGATATTAATTTAATCACCAGATTCGACATTTAAAGCAAATATTTTAATTTTCATAAAGTCAATTTGAAATTGTTTATTTCATTGTAATTGTATTGATTCATTTTTTTTTTTTTAAATTACGTAGTTCTTTAATCTAGCGTATGCCAATACAGTAAAAAACATGATGGTAAAATACAGTTTTTTACATCTCACTATCTGATAAAAATGATAAGTTCTTTTATTTTTCACATCATTGTTATTACAAGAATATCTAAATTGGCTTTTAATATTTGGACTGGACCTATGCATTTGCTGAAATAAAATTATGTACATATCAATATTATATATTGGGCTATATTAGGAAAATTGAAAATGTTAGTAATCACATAAAAATTTATTTTGGTCTCAATATTAATTTATATGTGAACAGTTTATTATAATATATCATTCAAATTACAAATAGTTTTTCAAGTAATAATTGACGTGGGAAACTTAAGCACATTGCCTGGAAGAAGAACAAAGATTTCATAATGATATTGTTTATTTCATGATAAATTTAGACCTAAAAACAGAGGGGGTTTAATGGGCAATGACATCACCTCCTGGGGCGCATCCTGTTGGCAGAGTCCGTAACTTGGCTTTATTTGCTTGTTCTACATTTTTAGACAGTCGTAGGACGAATCAGTGGGATGGGCAGTCTGGCAAGGACGTATTGTTTAATTTCTACATAAGTTTAATCTTTAATATTTTTCGTGCTTAGTGCTGTGTTATTTTTGGTTAAATATACAAGATTTGAAATGGAGGATATATTTCATTGGTGCCGTGAAGGCAATGCAATGCAAGTAAGGGTTTGGCTAGACGACACAGAACATGATTTGAATCAAGGGTAAAGCCAATTTTATCGTTAATATTAATTATAGTCGATATTAACTCTTATCAATTTGCGTATATTTAATTTTTTAATTTAATATACCTAGTTGACATTCACCAAATCCTTGACCAAATTTGGGGGAAGGTGGGGGAATTGTAAGCAAAACACAGATACTCACGTGACCATATAAGGCTCGTTGAACCTTATTTTATGTTTATGGCCTATGGTTATAGTTGATATGATTATTATGATAATCGAAATAAGTTTGGCAATTTGCCAATATATACTCCTGTCATTAAACTTTGACAGTTTCTGTTCATAATATGTCTTCCTGACAATTTGCAATTGTCAAGGAATAAATAGTACTAATATTAAATGACATTTCTGTTATTCTCATTTAATTAGAAAACTCTAAAGATCCTAATAATTTCTGTACTATTAGAAGTATTTTTTTATAATTTAAATTATTTTATTTTTGTCTAACAAATTGAATTCTACTGATTATATGTAATTTTAATCAGTTAAATTTTAGAAGAAAAGTTCTGTTTTTAATATTTTAAATTACAATGAGTTATACTGATGACACAACTGAAATGATAAGGTTTCAGGATGTGAATCCCATCCTTATTTTACTTTTAGAGGAAAGTTTTCTCATTTCCTGACCTCTATATTGGAGCATATTAATTCTTATTTGTTATGCCTATGAAACACAATGGAATGAAGTGTAATTGGAGAATAATATTACTGAAATTTTGAAAAAACACTAGCAAAATGGCAAAAAAATTGTTTTTATTTCTTCAAATAACTCAACCATAGAACAAAATTTAATTTTTACTTACACTTTTTTGGAAATTTTAATGTTTTAAATATTTTGTACTTTCAAATATATTGTTAAATTTCATCTTATGTAATATAAATACTGTGTACAGGCCAAAATGACCCGTAAGAGTTTGAGGAGCCCTTAATTGTTATAAATAAATATATTCTTAAGTATTTGTTGTTTAAATTGAAATATATAATAAGTTTATAACAATATATAATAAGTTTATAGCTCATTTTCTTGCTTGAAAAATATATTTTGTTGTTTTAATTAAATTTGGCAAGTTAAGGATTTTTGATCTGGAATAATTGACCCTTTGAAATGACCTAACTGACAAAGTTTTAATGAGACGAAGTTCTATATGACTTATATCTCTTGCTGTAATATGTAGAGTTACAAGAAAAACAAAATTCCAGCTGAAATTAATTTCTTTAATTCATTTAAACTTTGGTATTCATTTGCTTCTATCACATTGGTTGTAGAGTTATCAATTTCTTATTTTGAAAATATTTCGAACGGTAGAAGATTAGGTTTTCTAGAAACGAATTTAGAAATTCATCAATTAATTTTAATACACATTATGTCTCTAACTGATCGATTTGCGTTTTACTTATTTTGTTCATGTTGTCATTTTGTTTTTACATACAACTACTGTTAATTTTCTTTATTACTAATTGTAAGTTGGTATTACTTTCATATTCTAGTTTTTTTAAAAGTATCTTTTGTGTTTAAACTATTTTCATATTTATTTGCTATCCTTTTTATGAATAATTACATATTGCTATTTTTCTTTTGTTACTATTTTCCCAAATTAGTATTACTTTGATATTTTACTACATGGCATATTATTCGAATTTTTACTGCATACAAATCTTTTTTAAATTTTTATAAAATACAAATCTCTGATTACGACTTTACAAAATAGGTAGCCATTAATAATTTTATCAAAATCTGATTTTTGATTAAAATTATTTTTTATTTACAGAAACTTTAAAATTAGTGTAGGATTGTCATATTCATACTGAGTGTTCATCATACATGGAATCCCACTTCTTGTTACCGAACCGTTACATATAATGATTATAATACTTTAAAATAATCTTACTCTCACTTCATTCCATGAACTTATGACTGTTTGAAACAGTTGGAGCCAATCATTTGTTTTTTATATTTACAATTCTGGATATGTTTAATGAATAAAGTACAAATTCAGTATATTGTATTGTTTATTTTGTTTGACCCATTTAATAGGTCAGCATCTAGGATAAAAATAGAGGTAGAATATCCATATTTCATGTTGATATTTGTTAATTGTGATAAAATATAATTTTTTGTAATGAAAAATTAATATCCCTCAGTATCAACTTATTAAGAAAATGTAGTAGATTTTCTCTAAAATAAAAAAAATTACAAACCTTATTATTTCAGGTTTATCATCAATTGTTTTTCATTAATGTACAACTGAGCATATTATTTGTTGTGAACCATTTTTATTTTTAAGTGTGCTACTAGTGCTTACACTTTATTCCCTTAACATTTACGACACTCCCCGATGTGTTAATGAAACAGTTTAGGATTAGTTAATATTTATTGATTGGTAGTTATAAAAATATAACATGTTTTTTCTTGAATGTATATTAAACTTTTTTAATGTTCACAATTTTAAAATTGATATTATTATCTATTTCCTATTGTTCGAAAATATTGTTCTATATGTCATCTTTAATTTTTTTATGTTGTAATTTTTCTTTGTACCTTGTAATTTTACATCTATTTTATTTTTGAAACATTCTAATTTTCTATTTTAGATCTATATAATCTAATAATAATAAAAAGGCTTAGCGAACCCGAAGGTTTGATGCCGACACCACCAATCTCTTATTACACACCTCTCTCTACCGTTTACCGTCCAAACCCATTCCCTTCAGATCGGCTTTAATGCAATCTTCCCACCTTCGCTTCAGTCTACCCCTCGGACGCTTACCATTCGGCACAGCAAATATTAACCTTTTAGGAATTCTCTCGTTACTAACTCCAACAACTTTACAAGCCCATTTGATTCGTCGCGATGAAATTATCTCAATTATATTACTCGGATATAGTTCACGCAATTTGGCGTTGTGTAACCGTCTGAACTCTCCGGTTAACTCATCCTTCTTCGGTCCGAATATTCTACGCAATACTGTATTTTCAAAAACCTTAAGACGCTGCTCATCCCTTAATATAAGCGGCCAAGTTTCGCATCCATAAAGAACTGTAGGCAAGATAATTGTTTTATAGATTCTAATTTTTAAGTTCCGGGACAAGAGGCGCGAACTAAGTAGTTTTGTCACAGAAAAATAACAAGCATTTCCCGCCTTCAGTCTAACCTTAATTTCTTCTTCAATTTATATAATCTAATAATAAATTAATAATCTAATAGATGGGCCAGAATCCCAAAATGTTAAGTATGTAAACAAAAAATATGAGTAATAAAAAAATTAGCCCCAAAAGAAAGATTTAATTTTTTTTCGCATACCTTCAAGAAACTATATAAAGAATCCTTCTCTAAATAGTGTGATCTTTGAAAAAAAAACAAAAAAAAAAAACAAGTGTTTTAATGTTCAGATGCACTACATGAATTTAATAATGAATGTTTTTTTTTTTCCAACAGTGATGACCATGGCTTCAGCCCATTACATTGGGCGTGTAAAGAGGGACATGTGAAAATTGTTGAACTTCTTATTCAAAGAGGTGCTAGAATTAACGTTACAAATCGTGGAGATGATACACCTTTACATCTTGCTGCAGCGCATGGCCACAGGGAAATTGTCCATATGGTGAAAATTTAATTTTTTTTTAGATTTATTTGTATAATAGTGTTATATCCAGTTATATATTTGTCAAATTAATTCGTGGAACAAAAAAGAAGTAAATTCTGTTGAAGATATAACACACTTCTTTTTACTTCATCTCTAAATTTTCTTTGGCAGTTGATTAAAGACTCAATGTATTAATTTTTGCTTTATGAGGTAATTATAATCTTTAATCGTGATTCTATGCATTTTTGTTTATAGCTACTACGAAATAGAGCTGATGTAAATTTTACGAATGAACATGGTAATACGCCTCTGCATTATGCAGCTTTCTGGGGATACCAACAGATAGCTGAAGATCTGATAAATCATGGAGCGCTTATTTCTCTCGCTAATAAAGATGGTGCTACTCCACCAGATAAGGCAAGAGGTTCATTGGAAAAAAGAATGAGAGGTATACATATTTTTTAAAACCAGAAAACATTTATTAATTATTATTAATCTTTTTGAAAGTTATTTAATTTTTCTTGTTTTCTAGATCTTGCCATTGAAACTGGTCAAGACCTCAAGAAAATCACCTTTAAAGATCAGAGCTGGTTAGGGCTTAAGACCAGAAGTCGTAAGTGATCAGCTCATTATATAATAATACAATGTATGTGTATATTCATGCGTATATAAACACATTAATGCTGCAAATATAAACTCAGTTTTTTAAGGTCTATTTTTTAATTAATGAAATGCCCTTATTGTTATTACAGGAGATGCTACTTTATCTCGCCACAAAGGAATCAATATGGACGATTTAGCTTTGCATACTCAGATGGCTTCTACTCCTAGTGGTACAACATGGCGTGGGCGGTGGCAAAAAAACTTTATTGTTGCTAAAATTCTCAATGTAAGAGAAATAACTCCGAGGATTTCGAGGGATTTCAATGAGGAATTTCCTAAACTCAGGTGAGATCATCTCAATACAAATAAGATAAGGATTAAACTGTAAATTTTATTGTTTATAATATAATTAAAGCCTCCACAAAAAAAAGTTTTATGGAAATAATAATTGTTTTATTACTAAAGCCTGATTTCACACATCATTCGTTGTTAATACTAGTTAAATACAGAAGTTTTATACAAATAATGTACCATAAAATTATATTTTAATTATGAGAACTTAAAAATTGAATAAACTGTTCGCTCAAAAAATCATATTACATACCTTTTAGAAAATTGATTAAACATATTTTATTCAATCACAGGTCAGTGTTTTTAGCTGAAATTGTTTCAAAACACTCACTGAGTAATTTGAGCCATCAAACTTAAAAATCAATTCAGCCGTTCGCTTAAAAAACTAAAAAAAGACGACCCAAATACATAATCTCGTGTCGCTTCGCATACTTGGGTAAAAAATAATATAACTGTCAACAGAAGTTAAACATAGTAATGCTAGATGGAGTTGTAAATTTGCACTTATTGAATTGAAATTCCTGAACAAAAACCAGTGGCGTGTTTGTTTTTAAAGCTGATGTTTAAACTAAAAATGATCTAATAGCACGAGAAAAATATAAGAATCACGAGGTGATCATGAAGAAGCATTTCTTCAGCTCTCTTAAAATTGGTTTATCGCTATAGTAAACAATCATTTATTATAAATACTTTAATAAACATTCAATCAAATTCTTTGTTTTAATACTTATATACTTTCAGTAACTTTCGTTTTAGAAGAAAACTTAAATTCTCAGGTGTAAAACACATAAGGAGAGAAAATAAAAGGATTCATTATTTTTATTTTTATTAGTCTAATTGAATTTTTAGTGTAAACAATTGAGACTAATATCTTGGTTTCAATATTACTGTCCAGTCTAATTTTGATATAAGCGATTTACATTTGAGCTTTTAGTGAGGATTAGCCGTTAGGGTGGAGCATGTTTTTATTTAAGGCATCGTTCAAAAATACCAATAATCTATAATTAATAAGTCATGGAAAAATTACCTACTGCCTCATGAAATAGTTTGAAAGTAGAATTGAGCACCGAGCACCCCGTCGTTTATGGAGAAAGAGACCAACAGCCTCTTGACTCATACATGAGTCCGCCGTTACCTTGGCCAGATTTCGCTTTGACTCATATATGAGTTCACTGTCGTTAAAGGGTTAAATATTTAAATTTCTTTTTTTTTTTTGTGATGTGCTCTTAGGTTCACAGTGTGGATCCGTGAACTTGAAATACTCTAAGGTACTTTGGATAGACATCTCTCTATTATGTAAAAAAAGTTTTTAGTGTATGTCATATTTTATTGTATTTAAGTATTAGGAACGTAGGAGGTTACAGAAGCTCTCCTATTAGCTGTGTAATTAGTACTAATTACACAGCTCTTCATTTAATTATACATATGTTAAGCTGCTGTTACCTGATTATCTCCTGATACAAAATAAAGATTTTAGACTAAAAATTTGTACAGAGAATGGTATTTATTCATCTGGAGGTAGTAGTTTGATTTTACCTTGGTGACAACAGTTATTTTTAGACATTTCGCCTTGACTACAATATATTAATTATATTAATAATAATAATAAAAGGCTTAGCGAACCCAAAGGTTCGATGCCGACACCACCAATCGCTTATTACACACCTCCCTCCACCGTTTGCCGTCCAAACCCAGTCCCTTCAGATCGGCTTTAATTCAATCTTCCCACCTTCGCTTCGGTCTACCCCTCAGACGCTTACCATTCAGCACAGCAAATATTAATCTTTTAGGAATTCTCTCGTTACTAAGCCCAATAACTTTACAAGCCCATTTGATTCGCTGCGATGGAATTACCTCAATTATATTACTCGTATACAGTTCACGCAATTTGGCGTTGTGTAACCGTCTGAACTCTCCGGTTAACTCATTCTTCTTCGGTCCGAATATTCTATGCAATACTTTATTTTCAAAAACCTTAAGACGCTGCTCATCCCTTAATGTAAGTGGCCAAGTTTTGCATCCATAAAGAACTGTAGGCAAGATAATTGTTTTACAGATTCTAATTTTTAAGTTCCGGGACAAGAGGCGCGAACTAAGTAGTTTTGTCACAGAAAAATAAGAAGCATTTCCTGCCTTCAGTCTAATCTTAATCTCTTCTTCAATTTCGTTTTTTCTAGTTATCGTAGAACCTAGATACCTAAATTTATCTACCTGTTCAAACATATTACCATCTATATCTGTTAGCTTCCTCTTAGTTTATGTCAAACTTCGAATGAAGCCTAACTATTTAATTGTGATCTAATAAAAGAAAAAGAAATAAAGAGGACTGTATCTTCAAACATTTATTTTGGAACATTTACGAAATCTAATATTGAAAACATAAAAACAAAATGAATCAATTTTACACTTGTTAGATAGGTAAAAAAAATAACAAACTTCTAGCATAAAATAAAGACCAGCTGAACAAACAATTGTGACAATATTAATGAAACATTTTCATGCTTGATCATAAATAAAAACTATTTCTATGGCCCAAATTATAATAAAAATAAAATAAACAAAAACAACTTCTCTAAAGTCCCAATATGAAATTTATATATATATATATATATATATATATATATATATAACAAATAATTAGATTGTACAACGTTATGTGGACGAAGCAGGACGTGCGTAAACCTCTGTCTCTATGCAGAAACCAATTGTAACTCTTCAATGAGCGTGCACAAAACAAACTGCAAATGGGCAGCGGCGAGCACGACGAGAAAAGTACGTCTCTTCAGAGTAGAACTGCAGCGGGCAGTGTTGAAGTTGGCGGTACTCAGCTCAGTGGCGGGCGGAGTCAGACCGTCTCTTGTCAATTCTACCGCCTTATGACTTGAATCTAGCATTGTTTATAGCTAGTGCTACTACAATCCATAACAAAGTAGTCCAAGTATAGACTATTGATTTATTTAATATAAACAATATAAGCTAGGGGCCTATAATACTTAATATACACCTATCTTATACATAAATATACATATTATTAATTGATTTCACTTTGCTAAAATAAAACAAATCAACCATTAATCAAATTAGTTAAGTGTAAAATAAATTGAATTAACGCAGTGGCGTTTTTAACTGTAAAAATAAAATAAGTTAACACTGTGGCGTTAACAATATCGATATCACCAGTAGTATCGCCATTTTTGCAGCTAACCATATATTTTGTTTTATCCACGTTTATTTCGAGTCCTAGTTCTTTACCGCCTTTCATTAACGTTGTCGTATTTAATTTTATAGTTTCAACGTATATTAATTATATTGTATATAATAATATTATTTATATTATATTTTGATATAATATAATTATTATGAAATAGAAAAGGAAACACAATAAAAGGCTTAAATTATTGTTGGGCTTAGATGAAGCTGGACAAGTTGAATATATATTATGGTTACAAATTGGCAATAAGGCAGAATGTATGATTTAGATTTTTAAAGAAATTAAAAATTTGTCCAAACTGTGGTTTTGTTCAGTTTATTTTATGTTGATAAAAAATAATACAATCTGAACTACAGAATACATGAAAATTAAAGTTATACAATTTGAGCAACGAGTAGTGCAATTAAATGAACAGTTGTATAATTTGTAAAATGGGAGTTGGTCCGCCGTTAGGCAAACATGAGGTACCTTCCCTAGATTTATTAAAATTAAGTTTGAAATCCATTTCAGAGATAAATGACAGGCTAACAAATTAGGTGAAATTCTATCTTTAGTTATATTATTTGCTTTTTTAGTTTTTAAATTAATGTACTTATCTATTATTTTATCTGTTAGTGGAAGTTAAATTGTCATTTGGTTTTCAGAATATTTTCTCATCCTAATGTTCTGCCTGTGATTGGCTGCTGCAACACCCCTACTGACCTCGTAGTGATTAACCAGCACATGGCTTGGGGCTCCCTCTACACGCTGCTGCATGAAGGCACTGGCGTTGTTGTCGATTCGGCTCAGGCTTTAAGGTTTGCTGCGGATGTCGCTAGGGGTATGGCGTTCCTTCACAGCTTGGCACGTATCACTCCTGCCTACCATCTCAACAGTAGGCACGTTATGGTATGGATGCGCTAAAGAATTAATGTCAGATTTTTGAATTATACTACGTTTGTTGTGGGCTATTCCAACTAAATTAAGACTAAACAATTGTATATCAAAGGCCGATATGGTTCTTTAAGTTTACAATTTATGTTCCTAGATTGATGAGGACCTAACAGCGAGAATTAATATGGCTGATTGTAAATTTTCATTCCAAGAGAAAGGAAGAATGTATTACCCAGCGTGGATGTCCCCAGACGGTAAGTTAATTCATTATTATGTTTAGATTGCACAATATTTAACATGTTTTCAAATATTCTCAAGGAAAAATTCCTGTTAAAATTTGAAAATGTAAAATGTTTTATTTCGATGTTGATCGATGCAGTGATTCATGATAGTAACTAGAATTCATAGAATATTTATATTGAGCATAGGTTAATCCTCTTGTTGTGTTTTTTTTTATTGCTTTAGGTATTGATATTGATGATTTTTATTAATTCATATCTTAACTTTCTAAATATATAAAAGCTTTGATAAAGGGGTGGAGATTATTATTATTTATTTCAAAATATTCTTTAACTTATTCAGAATGGCTGGTGCATATTCATGGAAATTGTTGATGGTATTAACTGCCCTGAACTGAAACAAAAAAAATCAGGTGTGTCCTCTCACACGACTTTCCTACCTATTTCAGAAAAGTTTTTATATGTTTATATATGTTCATCAAGAAACAAGAAATAAAATCATTTTAAAAAAGATTTATTTTCCTGAAAATTGATCAAAGAAAAGATTTGAGTACAATTTATTTGATTAACTAAAGAAATGTTAACACGCTTAAGGTAGATCAGTGTAACAATTTCAATGCCCCCTAATATAGCTGATCAAAAACTTTTTGCCATAGCTTAATTTTGCCAAATAATAATTTCTGTTAAAAGTAGATATAGGAAATAGTTTAGCTTGTGTGATGCGGGCAACAGATTTCCATACTTTCACTTAGCCAATTTTTTTTCTCTCATTCACCCCTTTCTGAAACCAGGATATGAACCCATAATCTTACATTAAACAGACACTCAGGCAGGCCATTTTCGATTGTACTAATTTCAACTTCTTTTTCTTTTAAGGTACATTATATTTTTTATGAATTCAGACATTCTTTTTTTAGGGGGGAAGGGGGAGGGAGAACGGGAGGAAGAGAGGTATATACAATATGTTATTTTTTTACTGGTGTTATTTAGTTAATCAAATTATTATTTGTTTTTTCTGTTTTATAATTTTTTTCAAAATGAGTTAATTTCTTAATTTCACCACTTTTTTCCTATAATCTTTGTTTTAAAAGTTTGTTTTTTTATTCACCCTACCTAGCCATTTTTTGGCATACAGGTTATTTTAAAAATTAAGAAGACAAAACTATTAAGTTGTTTTAAAAGTTAAGAACACAAAACTTTTTTTTTTTTAATTCTGAGGAAAATTTTATTTTATATATAAGTTTTAAATTTGACACACAACTGGCCTAATTAGGCCACAGTGCACTTCTATTCTTCTTTTCACTTGTGTACAATAATTTATCACTGTTTTGTTATTATCTATTCTTGATGTAACCTAACTCTTTTCTTGTACCACTGTAAATTTTCATTTAAATATATTTAAGTAACTTTAATTGCTTTTATATCTGTGGCAAGAAGTTATTTATTTGGTTTTGTTATTGTTTTGTGCTTGTTATTTTCACACATATTTATGAGTATTCGTATGTTTTAAAGTAATGATTTAAACTTCTATATTATTTCTTCTAACGTGTTTTTTTAATTCCACTCCCCTATTATTAATCCAACCTTATCTGTTACCCTTATGATAAAATTCAGAGGTTAGTAGTCTGGTTAGGGAAAACTTTAATTTATTCTACTATTTTAAATGGTGAAAACAATATTTATTCTTATTTGTTCTCTGTTTATTTAGCTTTGCAGAAGAAACCTACGGATCGAAATTGGGAAGCATCAGATATGTGGAGCTTTGCCGTTCTCTTATGGGAATTGGCTACAAGGGAGGTGCCATTTGCCGATCTTTCCCCGATGGAAATTGGAATGAAAGTAAGTATTGGGAACATTTATAGGAAAAATAAAAATATAATTCAGTGTTATTTTTTAAAATTATTTATGCAGTAGTGTTAATTATTTGCATCATTGCCTGTTTAGGTTGCTCTAGAAGGACTAAGGGTTTCAATTCCCCCAGGCATATCTACACATTTGGCAAAGTTGATTAAAATTTGCATGAATGAAGATCCAGGAAAACGGCCTACATTTGAAATGGTGTTGCCAATATTAGATAAAATGAATAGATAAAAGAAGAGCGGCCATTTTTTAATTCATTGGCGATTCATTGAAAATTAAATAGACTACTACTTTATATTAATGAAACTAACTGATGAGTCCATTTCTCTCTTCTTTTTTTTTTTTTTTTTTTAATTTTGTTTTATCACTTTATTTTTATATGAAAAAATGAATTTTCTTACAAATTAATTTAACAGTTATTATTAATTATTCATTGATCACATATGCCAGTTGAATGGAACAATATATAAATTCTTTTTTTTTCTTTTCAACTTCATGTTTACATCCACAAATGTCTAATACATCATTGACAATCAGTGGATTGTCTACGAAAATTAGAAATAAAATTATGATAAGCCTTCTATGGCATTGTTTTAGACAACAAATAAATTTACAGAAAGTCTCTTCCATGATCTTTTCAGCCTCCTTGTGATGTTACTGCAGCCATTCTTATTATTAACTGGTTTTTATGTTCCTATAAATTGTCATGAAATCGTTTGTTGTGAGTCCGTACGTATTTGCTGACTTTAGGCATTCTAAGGTAGCGTTTAAAGTCGCATTAAAAGCGTATCAAGGTGCCTGTGTAATAAGTCTAAATACTTTGGATTGAAATGTTTGGACTCTTTTTGGCAAAACCGAAAATTTGAGAAGCGTAGGACATATGTGTAGGTAGCAAGTTTCTTTCTTAGTTTTAATTTTGATTGTGATCTGATTTATAAGTATAACAGTTTACTTTGTTGATTTAACATCTTACGTTTTTTTTTAATGTGTGGGCCCCAAGATATAAATTCTTAAATGAGCATTTAGACATGACCACCTTAAATAGTTTAGTTTATTGAATTATGCAAAAACAATACTGAAGTATTTAAATTTCAAAATCTCATTATTTCATTTAGCATACTATATTGTATACTAGAAAAAAAAAAATTGCTCAAAACTATTTTATCAAATATATTTAGTGACCCAAAGTATGACTATACTAAACTTAAATAAGTCTTAAGGATATATAAACTTACCGGACAAGTCTTCAGTACGTTTAAAGAACGCAGACAATTAGACAACTTTGATAACTTTGCAAATTTTTCCTACTAATAAATCGTAAGGAAAAGCACTTTTCCTGGTAACAGTGTCTTCTATTTTTTAGAAATTCTGACAATAAATATTCAATGACTGATAAATATCCAGTTAAAAACTCAATTTTGATTTTTTTTTATGAAATCTACCGACTAGTTGGTATTTTGTTCAGCGCCTACTTAAATTTGAATGTTTTGACAAACAATACTTTTTTTATAATTTTGTTTTTTGGGAGGGAGATAATCTTTTTATTTATAAAAATAACAAATTATATTTATGCAAAGATAGCAAATATATATTATTATTTTAATATTTTGTATAAATAAATACTTTTGGGATTCTGAAATTTATCATACTGAATTATTAATTAGCTATTAATGATTTTATTGCTGAGACAATATTTATTGTTTTGTGTACTTAAGTTCATATATTTTATTATTTAAATATATTGGTTTTAAAACATAACAAATTTCAAAAACATCCAAGAAAAATTTATTTTGGTGTTTTTGATCTATTTCTGTCATAAAAATTTTTGATAATATCAACTTTTTTGGTACATTTTTTTTTGCAATATGATTTTTAATTGTTAAATTTTTATTTTTGGAAGTCTTTATTAATTGTTCCATTACAATTGGCATCTCAGTGAATGCAATTTAATTTATTTTGACTAATTTGAAAATGACTACCATGTTTTTAATATGAATATTTGTTAATGTTGTATTATATGTTCTACATTTATATAACTGTTGGATTAAAAATTTATTCTTTTTTTTTATTAGTTTGCTGTGCTTAGTAACTTAATATATTAGCCATTGCTCTAAATGTGCTTTGTCAAGATGCCCTTATTGGTCAGTTAGTAAAACTTTGGTGGCTATTTTTTAAACTAAGAATGGTTTAGGGCTGTTTGTGCTACTGTAGCCTTTCCTTATAATACCCATGTTAATTTAGGAGAACTTTATTTTTTGATTTATGTTTTTTTATGATTAATTTTCTTATAGTGGATAATATTATTTATTGCTATTAAGGGGAATAATTTGTTTTACTTGTCAAATCGTCCATCTCAAAGTGTGCTACTACTGTTTGGGTGCTACAAAAATTGCATTTTTCACTGCCAAATAAATATATAGTTTAGGAAATAAACTGAACCACTTTATGTAATTTAATAAACTGTGGCTGTGATATATTTTCCAGATATTTATATTTTACTGAAATCACTTTTTCTCTAAAACATTCATCAACTATCGATTTCTGAAGTCGTTTTCACATTCAGTAAAACCTAGTTAATCACTTTTCATTCTTAATAAGATTCAGAAATGGCCTGATTTTAAATGTATCTAAGGTTTATTTATTCCACATTTTTTATCTTTAAATTCTTGTTGGCCATGGTAAATTATTTTTTTGTTCTTTAAAATTATTATATTATAGAAATGAAAATATATTATAAAGTTGGATTTAGTTATTATAATTCATAAATATATATTTTATTTGTACGTCTGATAATAATTTGATTTTTATTCCAACTACTGATGATAAAATTGACTCTCCCTTCGATTCTGCTCGTTGCAGAAAATTACTAGTCAAGCTTAAGGAAAAAAATATTTTCGTGTATATTGAATTTGATCTCTTGTTACAAACAAGGTTTCTATTGAATTTATAGGATTACTGAAAGACTTATCAATATTTTTTAAAAGTGTGTTCAGTATTTTTATTAAAAAAAAAAATCTATAAACCAATCTTTGGGTGAATACAGGAATAATTATTGTTATTTTTTCTCTCTGTAATATAGTAGCTGATAAGCTTTAGATTTATGTTATATTATGTTATTATGTTATATGCCCTGTGGCAATAATTACATTAAAAGCCGGTTCTATTGTTGACTAAATGTTAAAAATACATTCGAACCTTTAAATATCGAACTTATATGTTTCTTGATAAATATTTTGTTTACAGAAATTTCTATTTATTGAAAAATTAAAATTTATCATTGATTAAAAATCAAAAATTATTGGATGTTCAGTATATATATAAGTTCGATTGCTGTTTCATTTTTATTTTGAACAAATTTACGAGGTTTAAATATATATTTTTTTAATTTTAAAGGATTGTTAAATTGTTTATTTAAATATAATGTATCTCCACAGCTTTATTAGCATTTTAATTACAGATCTGTCCAATATTATGCCTTATATGAAGCAGAGCTTCATTGCATCAAGTGCCTCTTAACATAAATTGTATGAATTTCATAAATTTTATTTGAAATTTGTCATTTCATCAATTTATACACTTAAGGAGAATTATTTTTGCCCAAGTTTATGAAGTTTCCTTGCCCTTTTAAATTCTTTTCTCTCATTTTTAGCCTTTATTGCTCTTTCTTAAATAATTTAAAATACATACCTATATATGTATAATGAATGATCTCAGCTCAAATTTCAAGAGGTCAAATCCGAGACTTAATTATAATTTTTATAAAATTTTAAACTCTCTTGTGCCTTTATAGTTACGTGAATTAGGCCACCGGCAGATTTTTTTTTTTAGGTTTCATCTTGTGAATTTGATGTTAACATGATATTAATCGTGATAGTGCCTTAACATTTCTTTTTATGTTGTTCTCAAAAATGTTGTACTTAAACAGATCTTTAAAAGTTGTTTTGAATAAGGCCAGTTTCATAAATATTGATAATTCATTATTTTCAAATGAATACTGTTGATGTTATTAAATGACATTCTTAAACGTAAAAACAAATCAATTATACTTTCCTACACTTAAACCACTGTTTTCTTTTGTCATCTATATTAGATGGTTTTTAAAAAAAGTCTGCTAGTTAATATATCTATGATTTTTATATGTTATTGATTTTTTTTTTTTTGCCACCAGATTTTTATCATTAAACAATAATTTCTTTAACGTTGTGCCTTCATTGGTAAATTATTAATGAAGTACTTTTCAAACTTATGAATCATTATAAGTATTAACCAATAAAAAATAAATAAATGAGAAGATATAGAATTATAGTAAATTAAAAATTGATTGCATGGATAATATTCATAGATGTAGATTTATGTTTTAACGTATTAATAGTTCATTAATAATGTTGTTAAAATGAATTTAATCAAAACTGATTGTTGATCTTAGTAATATCATGTGTTTTATAGTTATATACATTTATCCAGTCTAATTAAAACATGATTGGTTGGTTAAGTTAAATATGCATTTAGCAAAAAGATGTTTTTATCAATACGGTCCTGAAACGCTTTATAATAAAATTAACTAGTATTTAGGTAATCAGTAGAGATAAATATTTCAAAATGAATTTACTAGTTTAGGTATTATGATAGTAGAATTAATTAAAGTAATACTATATTAGTCTTCCAAAAACATTATCCGCAATATTATATTAGAATGGACTTTAATTATTGTTAAAAAATAAAAAAAATGTCAAATTTGTTGGGATGTTTAATCCAGACATTTTTTTTTTTAAATTAACGTACATTATGTAGATTAATTGTTAGTTAAAAAAATAAATTTATGCTTGTACAAATAAAATTGAAACAATATTTGTTGACAATTTAATGATTATATAAAGTTGATTGTGTGTGTGTATATTAATTTGTGCTAAATTATGTATTTTTATTATTGAAAGATAGTATATGTTACTGATTCCATTAATTAATTTTTTTAAACTAACTTAAAATTTGAGTATTATGTAATATATTTATTTATTTTTGTAATTTGATTTGAAAATTCGAGTGTCATGGAATTATGTTGAAATTAACTTTTATATATTTATTGTTAATTTGTATAGATTTTAATGTTAATACATGCATTATTTTGGATTTATTTTAATTTGTTTTTATCCATTCCTTGATCTCTTATTATTATATATTATTTTCATTTTTCTGGAAGTTTTTCTTTTAAATGCATTTTTAGAATATAGTGGAAAATAATTTTACTCTGGGACAAAGTGCCTTTAGAATAACAAAGTACAAAATTAAAATATTATATCTGGCCTAAATAAAAACAAACATAAAAAGTAAAAATATAGAAAAATAAATAAAGAAAAAATTAGTTAAACATACTATATACAAAATAAAAAAAATCTATGTACAAAATACTTGAAACCATGCCAAGACATTTAAAACTATTTACAGTGGTAAAACATAAATACACACTTTTAGAAAAAAAAAAAAAAATACTTTACATTCTTAGTAATAAACTCTGTTTCTGTATTAAAAAAAAAAAAAAGTCGAATCTGATAGTAAGAATTGTATGTTTTTACATTTACTAAGAGTTTTTGAGCAAATGATTTTCTTAAATGTTTTTATTTTTACCGAACTAATTTTCTAGGTAAAGTCTTAATTCACTTCAGGCAGCTCACACGGCCGTTCTCCACTCATTTCTTTAATAAATTAAAATATCACAGCTTTTTATTATACCTTTAAATCATTTTATATACATTTAAAAATTATTATTTCACGTTTCAGCTCCAAGAGCCATTTTCAAAAATTTGTTTCTCTTTTAAAAAACAAAACATTAGTCACATAAAAAGATTATTTGTTAAAGTATATCTGTATATAGAATACTCTTCCAATGGTAGTAATTGTTTTAATTAAATATACAATGTTTTGTTTTATTTCCTTTTTCCTCCAAATATCCACAAAAATTGCTTTCTTCTCATTTTATCAAAACATCTATTCTGCAAATTAAGAACTCCTTTATAATGTAATAATTTAAAACAAACTTTTATAAATACAAAACACTATTCTCATCTAAAAATCTTTTTTTGGACAAAATTTATTTAATTATTGAAAAGCACGACAAAAAACCAGACCTAAAAATAAAAATTAAAAACATCTTCATGTTATCTTTAATGAGCTGTAGTTTAGATTGACTCACTAACAATTCCAAGGCGTTCAACACTATTGTGTTTAATTTCAATTTATTTTATGAGGAGTTAGTCGGGGGTGCGGTCAGATAAACACTAAATTGAAATATAGTAATTGTTGTATTTTAATTTTGCCGACGTGTCGACCCACTTTGCAGGTCGTCTTCAGGGCATAGGATGTAGCACTGCGGGAGGCAGTTGAAACACTGAAAACACTGGGCACTGGTGGCCAGTGTTTCAACTGCCTCCCGCAGTTGAAACACTGGATCCTACTTCCTGAAGACAAGCAAAGTGGGTCGAAACATCAGCAAAATTAAAATAAAACAATTACTATTTTTTAATTTAGTGTTTATCTGACCGCACCCCTGGCTAACTCCTTCTCATATTATATCAACGGTCAACCATCTCTACATCATTTCAATTTATTTTGTTTATCATGTTTAAGGATTCATTTTATCTTTTTAAATTTTTTTTTTATAAGTTCCGCATAATTTTGGCTAATGTTTTTGAACCAGATTTAAAAATATTGAATTTTCTAAATTTTTTTTTGTAGTAGTTATTGTCTCCAGTATTGTTCTTCAAAAGGTATTTTTTTCTTTATATATAATTTCCATATCTTCAAAATTGAATCTATACCCTTACTCTTGTCCAGCATTTTGGTTTTTATCTTTCATATTTTTTTTTACAAGGTTATTTTATTTGATGGTTTATATTCTGGTACATTTTAATTTTTAATGGTCTGGTTTAGGTTTTGTGATTATTTATTATTTTTACATTTTTTTAAATTTTATATTATTTGTAACTAATATATCTGATCTTATTTTCTTCTACTCTATTTAAAATATTATTTTTATATGAGGAGTTAGTCGAGGGTGCGGTCAAATAAATAATAAATTAAAATATATTAATTATTTTAATTTTTTATTAAAAAATTAAAATAATTAATATATTTTAATTTATTATTTATTTGACCGCACACTCAACTAACTCCTTCTCATATTATATCAACGGTCAACCATCTCTAAATTATTATTTTTATATTTATCTAAAACGGCATCCCACACTTCTTTTTCGTGTTATTCTGACTAGTGAGGATTGGTCGGAAGAATGATAGGCTAATGTGGATCTATTTACTTTACCAGCAAATTCAAATTAGTCCAACTAACCATGCTATAGCTAAAGTAGAAAATTTAGAGTGAAATATAGATCTGCTTTATTATAAAATTTGTTTATTTTTTGCTCCTAAAGAAGTGCAAAATATTCTCAAAACAAAGCAGTCTTTCTACTTTAATCCTCCTAATCCTGCTTTGGGAATATTTAATTCCATTGTCAATGATACATTTAAATTACATACCTTTTTCTATATATATGACAGAATGTTTCTTAAATTTCAATTGTATTTTATTTCTTTTTCATATTTTCTGTTGTAATCCAAAAAAAAAGGACTAAAAATAAGATTTCTGAAATAGAACCGGGCATCAAAATAAGAATTGTCTCATAATATTTATGATTTTTTAAGAAAAGATGTGACTTGTTTTTTTTCAGTTTGGCTGGCTTTGTGACCTATATCTTTTCTCTTTCAGTCAACTTACAATTTAAGATGTCTATTAAAAAAACAGTTGAGTACATTTTTGAAAAGTTTATCATTGTTAAAATAAATATTTAATAAAGACTTCATTTGAACTGCTCAAGACAGAGTTATAAGGAAGGCAGATTGATCAGAATTCATTCTATCGATAGTGATTTTTTTTTTTAGGATTTTATTTAGTTTTTTCTTGTTTGTTTTTTTATTTAGAATTTGGAATTACCTATTTTTGTTAGATAGATAGATGCCTCAGGTAAAATTCTCTTTTTACATCTCATTGAAGTTAAATCAGGTGATAACTCGAATTATTTTAAAGATTTAAAGATTATAATATGCATGTAGTTATTTTGTTTTCTCTTTCACGCACAAACATAAGTTGTGTGATGCAAACATCACAATTTACTTCTATTTTTAAATTAATCAGATTGATAACTGATTTAGTTATGCCTTTTATTAGAATATTATTGGTCCAATGCCAGCGTGGTCTGCGAATTTAGCTATCTTTTGGTTAATGATTTTCTGTTGTTTTTTTTAAATGGAAATTTTTTAAATAACATTGATTAGAAATAACAATATAAGTTAGGCTAACTGTATTTAACAATATGTATGATCAATTTAAATTAGAAATAAGCTACTTTATATCTGCAAATGTAAATTTAGAATGAAAATCCAATTTTCACAATTCCAAACATTTGCAAATTCCAATCCCTCTTTGGTATTGCACAGAAATATGTAATTTGAACAGCTGTTATATATTTTTTCTCTATTTCCAATAGTTAAATTAAATAAATTTGAAGGTCTTATGAAATTTATCTACAATAAATTTTTTTTTTCTGGTTTATTTATGTATCATTTAGTTAAATATTTCCCTCTTTTCAAATTTTCATTCATTAATTTATTTTTTATTTTATTTTATTATTATATTATATTTTCCACAGCATTGTAATGCATCAAGCAAATGTGTTACCGTTTATACTGTCTTCTTTTATTCTTGATACTTGTTTACATTGTCAGCAGGAGACCTCTAGGCCACGTGCCTTTTTAGTTCTCGTTGAGGCTCAACAGTTAAAAGGTAGGAAGAAAGAGACAATTGGATTTGGATGATTGAGAGTAGAATAATGGAATGTTGTGTACTTGTTATGCAGGATTTTACTTTTGGTATGTTCATGTCTTTGTGTATAGTGTGATTTGAAACAAACCAAGAAGCATTGACGATTTTACGAATTATTTTGGATTGTGTGATTTGAATTTTGTTTATGTGTGTATGTTTTGCAGAACCCCGAAGTTCTGCTCCTTATGTCCAAATAGGTTTTAGAATTGTGGTGTAGATTGGTTGCTAGTTTTGTAAGTTGTGTGGAGATCTGTAGTTTAAAATATGTGACAGTTACTTGTATCGTCTGGTCAATTTTTGTTTTTTTAAATTTTGTGTGTATGTTCCAGGTGAGGTTTTTGTCCAAGTATTGTCCGAGATACTTTACATGAGTTTTTGAGGAAATTGGCTTGTCACAGCAGGACACAAAATCTTCCTCAATGAGAAGCTAACATGACTTGACTTAATGCCATTTATTTTGATTTTCTATTTGTGGAACCATTTTTCAAGGTTAACAAATTTTTGTTATCGTTTTCAAGTTCATACTTATTCAATAATCTTATTGAGTATCTTTATAGATTGTAATGTTTTTCATTTTTACATTTTGTCAATGTCCATATTCTGTCAACATTCAGATTTTAGTAATTGATATTTCAGAGTTAGATGTTTACACCTGAAGTATTTAAGAGGATAAGTGATCTAAGTTTCAATAACTAAAATTTTAAAGTAACTGTTCAGTAACTCTAGTTTTTGGCAAATCTTTAAAGAAAATACAAAAACATGTTATGAAATATAAATGCACAAAAACCTTATGCACAACACAATATTATTTGGATTTAGATCACTATGAAATAAATGGATAATTAATGCCAGTGATCCTATGATTCTACCATTTTATTTTTTAACTAGATGAAAATTTTTGTTGAATTTCGATCAGAATGCATTGCATTAATGATTATTTCTGGATCCATTTGCATGGAACAAATCAAGTTCTAGGTTTTTGACACTTGGATCGATCAGTTTTTCCAAAAATGCTGCAATTAGATTTTATAAATAAGGTTAGTCTTAAAACAAAATAAAAAAAGCCATTTACATAACAAAACTAATTTTATTAACAGTCATTGTCCTCACAGAGGTGCTTTTATTTACATTCTCATATTAATTACAAACACAGCTTTAATATAACCTTTTTAAAAATCCTATCTAATTACAGTCAGGAATGGACACCAAGCCGTCGATGACTGAAAGATTATTTAAGCCACACTTGGGTCACAGTTAATATAAATGCCCTTCAACTATATTTACACAGCTATGGGCAAAAATAAATAGGTCTATACATAATGGACACAACAGATTTTCTCAATTATTTCATCATTTCTCTTTCTTTTTTCTACTTGTGCTATCGAACAGCAACACCGTTAATTGTCACTGTGTTCCGATGAGAAATTGGTGATGGTTCGTAATGACTTGTTTCTTCATATGGCGAATCGTACACTTCTTCATGTATGTTTTCATAAATGTTATTTCCTGTTCTGTCATTCAGGTTAGCGTAGGACATCACAGCAGCATTCTGATCTTCTTTTTTGAGAGCACCCTGAATATTTTCAGTATTTTTCACAGGAGTTTCTTTTCGACTGAAAATTACAAAAATAAATTGTGAAAAATTGTTTTAAAAACTGTCTCATTAATCCATTACCTCATTTGATTAAATTAATTTAAATATAACATTTTGGCTCATTAGTGGTAACTATAAAATCTTTATAAAATATTTAAAATGAAAAACTTTAAACAATGAGGCTGAATTCACAATGATCATATATGCAAATAAATGTAGAACAAATATTTTTTGTATTTTATGCCGACACTATATTTATAAGTACTTTTATATCTGGAAAAAATCTTGAATGAAAAATAAATATGTAACAATTAGTGTTGTTTAATTTTATTTTGAAAACAATTTTAATATATTGATTTAAGTTTGGTATTTTTAGTTAAAGTGTTATAATGGCCACTAATGAGTCAGTATGTTAATATTAAATTAATTTTTTTTTTCTCCCTTTCCTCACTTTTTATGATGTACGGGGTTTTCCTGGCCCTAGGATGCCAGAGTTAAAAGCTATTTCCCTGGCATCGGGATGTGAACTCGTAATCATTTTACCATCTATATGTTGTGTATAACGTTAGCTGCCTCGGCCACCCCACCCCAATATTAAATTAATTTGAAGAAATGAGTATGGTATTTAATTATAATTATTTTAATATATTTATTATTAGGACCAATCTAGGTAGTGATAAACCTGGTCCGTGTGGAAAATTAGTTGAAAAACAATTAACTAATAGGACTAGATTTGTAAAATAACATGACTCAAAATTATCAAAGGCTTAAATATAGCTATATTTTATACAATTTACTTTTTATAAATATTTTCAATATTTAAATCATTTTGTTATAAGTAATTAATTTGAAACAAAAATTAATATTACTAGTTATCCTGAAATATTTGGTGTATGTAGAAAACAATAATGTCATAAATTAAAATTATTATCTAAAAATTTTAAAAGTTTTTTTTTAACAAAAGATATGAATTTCTCATTTTTATTTTTATTTTACTATTTTTCATTAAAAAAAAAAAAAAAAGAAAAGATGTCTTCCACACTATTTAACATTCGTTTTTTCATATATTCAACAGCCATTAAGTAATTAAATTATATATTTTTTGTATTCCTTTTTTTATCGAAAGTGGACTTGAGAAAGGGACGTAACATCAAAGGTATGCTATCTGAGTATTCGTAGCCCCATATGGTGTTATAATGCTACGAGTATATCTTAGTTTTTAATATTATTTCTGTCATTTTCAATTAAATGTGAAATTCTCAATTTAAAATAAATAAATAAAACTAAACAGAATATTAGAGAATTGGTAATATGAGTCGTCTTTAAGAGAAAAAGATAACTTCAGATTCTAAACTGTTGAAAACAAAGAAAAAGAAAAGAGAATAAATTATGTCAGTCTACATTATTTTAAAATTTGTCTTTTGCAGTGAAAATTAACATGTTAGTAAATATTTGTTTTAAACTTTTCAAAAATAGACTAAAAAAAAAAGGAGTTATCCTTTTTTGCTAAAGAAATGCTATTAAAATTATTTCAACAAAGATCTATGGATAATTTATTTGATAGATGGTTACATTTTTTTTAATACATAAATAATTTACTTTATGATTTTTATTAGTAAAATTTAGTTCTAATAACATTCCATAATCTGAGTATAATAATTTGGTAATAATAAAATAATTTTAATCTGATTAAGTATAATTTTCTTTGAAAATTAAGTTACTTACAGCCTTAGGTAAATAATTCCCAAAATGAGGAGTAGGAAAAGTAGAACACCCGCTCCGATTCCAATTGTTAGTCCGAGTGCTTGTGAATCGCTGCTTGGAGCTGTAGTCACTAAAAAAACAAAAAAACACAAGTGGAAACATACATTATATGTGTTAAAATTTGAACAACAGTGAAAGCTAATATCACTAATTTATTAATTTAACTATTTATTATCTATTAGTAATTTTTATTACTTTCACATCGAGGTTCATCTCCAGACCATGTACCATCTTCCATACATTTTCTTAGATAAGGACCTATCCTTTGAAACTGTGGGATACAGTGGTATTCAGCGCCACTATTATATGTCGTACTGTCATTCATAATAATTACTCGGCCATTTTCTATGTCAGTTGGTCTTCCACAATCAACAGCTGCAATAAAAAAAAAAATGTATGAATAATAAATATAGCAATAAAAACTATTTTTTTATTTTGTCTTGTTATTTATAAAGTAATTCTGATTTTTGAAACTGATTATTTAATTTAAATTTAAATTGATTCTAAGAGAATTTAAATTAAATTCTCCAAGAGTGGAGGAAAAATAGTTCTTACTTCACCAAAAATTTATGAACATGTAAAGTAGGACTAAAAATGGAATGAATCATTAAATAGGTGGTAACTTTAAAATAATTACTTTAAAATGTTCAGCCTCATTTCTAGCACTCCTTTTTAAGATCTGGTTCAAAATTACCATAAATAGTTATAAAGTTTTACTTAAATAAGTTTCAAGTTTTAAAGATTTTTTCCTTTACTCTTATATAATTATAATAATTCCAGATTTATTAAAAATCTGTGTTAGTGAACTTTCATACAGTTATGAAGTTGTCATGACAAATATTATGGACACATAAATAGGCACACCCGCAAGCTTTTTATTATATAGAAATCATAATTTGTCAATTTTTTATTTTACTTTTCTGTGAGATTATATTTGTTTAAAGATTTTTAACCATGTTGTATAAAACGGTGTTTTTTTTTGTTATAAAAATTATAATCTATTTACAAGTAAACTATGCATTTTTTATTCCTCTATTTTACGACAGTTGCAACAAAGTAATCTATAGTAAAAAAATCTTTAGTAAAAAACAATACTAATAATTGTGGGAGAAAATGGATCTTTGTGAAAAATTCTGCTTTTTATTATTTGTTATTTATAGGAAAAAATCATTAAAAAAAATACAACTTAATTTTAATAAATATTGCATATTATTAGATTTATATTAATTTGCTCTCGATTGTTTCTGTATAGCTTCCAACGCTTATTTCTCCTTTAGTAACCATTTTATTCATTCATTATATTTAACCATTTTTTATACTAGGTCCTAATATTAAATGGTTAATTATTTCAAATAACAAAAATTAAAGGTACTTTAGGCTAAGCTAATATTGAAAATTAGCCATTTAAGCCCTGTTAGAGAACATCAATAAGAATAAAACCTATATTATGTAAAAAACCGCTTAGTTTTACACTGATATAATAAGTTTAATCAAAATCGTTTGAAACGTTTTGGAGAAAATTATAAAAATGTGATAAATCAATGCTTTAAAGTGCCACTTCCCGATTTTAACCAAAAAGTTGCTGTAACATCCCAGGTATATCAAAATTTTAAATATGTAAGGAGCTAGATTTAAATTGAGCTAGACTGTTCATGTGCATACACACAGACCATTTTGCCTGACTTGTTTATTTGGACTCACTCAGGAGACCTCAAAACATTTATTTCTGTTGAAAACTAAGATTCAAAAATGTTCACGATCGCAATGCTTTCCCTTACTATATATTACAAATACAGGTAGTGAAAGTAAAAATGAATCACTACAAGACCGATAAGATGCATATGCAGGCAACCGACATGATTCATAGCAGAATCAATATAAATTCACTCAGTTATTTGATATACATATACACAATTTCTGCGTTAAAATTTATATGAATTTTACATACGTATGCAGTTAGGTATAAATCCACTCCAGCTTCCCTTTTTGAGGCAAGTTCTTGTAACATTTCCCTCCATGTTGTGTCCTCTAGGACATGTGTATATGGCTGTACCTCCAACACTGAACGATGAAACTTGAACATTCATGCCAGTATGGCTTTCTGGTTCTTTACAGACTATTTCTGCAAGAAAAAAGTTATCTTTAATATAATAAAACAAAAAACATGATTCTATGTACTCTGAATCTATTGAGATTATTTTAATTTGTTTAATAGGAAACAAAATTTTTGCACAATGTTACAACCTGAAAAGAGCAATTGTTTACCTTTACACATTGGTGTTTCGGCACTCCAGGTTCCATTGTCTAAGCACATTCTTCGTGGGAATCCATCAAGCTGGAAGTTTTCATAGCATTCATAAAGCACCGCTGCTCCGTAATAAGTTGCATTTTGAAGTAAGGTGAATCGTCCATTATTTGGAGCCAATGGTAGTGCACAATCGACAACTACAAGGAAACCAAAATAAAATATCTTTCAAAAGGTACGATTATTTCGAGAATATATTTATAAACTTCATTGTATTTAATAATTCAGCAAAAAAAAATTTTTTTATTTATTTATTTTTTAAAATTTTGAATCATTAAAAATTAATCAAGCTCACATATGCATTGAGGTAGTTTTCCACTCCATTTTCCATTATCTTCACATGTTGAAAGTGGATCCCCTTCAATTTTGTATCCTCGCTCGCATCTGTATTTTACAAGTGTGCCTATCTTGAACGTAGTAACAGAGACTGCAGAATCTTGGGTACGAATGAGAGTCCTGCCATACAATCGATCATTTCCAGTCACTGACAGAATAGCATGGTCCGCTAATTGTGGTGCTGGGCAACGGATTTCTGAAACAATGAAATTATTTGTCTTATTAATAATTAATTAGTATATTATTATAAAGTAAAATGTTCATAAATAGGGTTCGGAAATTTATGTTTTTCTAGTTTTATGAATTTTCATGATTTTTAAAAGTTCTCCAGTTGTTAAAAGATAGAAAAAGTAATTATAAATCAGATAATTCTGAAATACCAATATCGATTATAGTAGTCTATAGACTTAATTTTAATTATCATATTTGGACATTAAATAAAACATAACAGATATTGCTATTTTATATTTTTTTTTTCTGTTTATGAAATTATATATTTTACCTTCACATCTTGGAAGCCCTTCGCTCCATTGTTTAGTCTCTAAACATATTCTGCTCGAAGGTCCGACTAATCTATAGTTTTTAGTACAACTATATGTAACTTCACTTCCCAAATATGTTGTGGAATTAGTATATGCAACTGAACCATATGGTATAGGTGGAACCTTTCCACAATCTATGTCTACAAGGTGAAAAAAAAACAAAAACACTATCAATCCATAAATTCTTTATTTAATATTTTTTTGTATGGTTGTTCTTTTTACAATATAACTTACAATAGCAAGTAGGAGGTTCTCCGTCCCATTCACCGTTCGTCGTACATGTGAGAGTTGATCGACCCGCTAAGATGTGGCCTGCTTCACAATGGAATTCCAGGCTAGAATGGACATTGAAATCGTAACCAACCACGTAACCATTTTCGGGGACTTCTGGTTCAGGGCAAGTAATCACTGTAAATATAAATAAAATATATTATTAAAAAAGAAAATTAAATAATTACAAAATATTTATAACAAGCACTTATTGCAGTGTATTTACTGGAGATACTACTTTTGAATCCAAATAAACACCATCTAATCCTTTTTTTTTTGGTTAGTCAAAGTAAGTATTTAAAAGTTATTATGCTAGTAAATATTTCTGGTTTTAAATTTTAAACTTTACAACACGTAGTAGAATTTTCATGAATTTTATTATAAAATTTGATAAAAAAATAATATTCTCCTTACATTCACAGGTAGGTGGATCATCAGACCATTTGCCATCTCGAAGACAAGTGAGGTAATTTCGTGTTGGTGGTTCCAACCAGTGGTCTGTGTCGCAGGTGTACTCAACGACACTACCGTGGGTTGTTGTTCCATTAAGAAGGATATAGTGACCATTGTCTACTCCCAGAGGCTCTCTGCAGTCGACGTATTTACATGTTGGAGCCTTCCCAGACCATTCTCCTCCCAAACCACAGGTCAGTACCTAATAGATCATATTATTTATATATTATAATAATTTAATTGAAAATATTATTTGCAATATCATACCATAACTGTTTGATTAAAAAAATAATCCAGTTTTATCTTTTCTTATGATCATTTTAATTTAATAATTTTATATGATTTAGCTATGTTTTTCTAGAAAATATATTTCAAATGTATAATTTATTTTAGAAATGTGTTTTATAATACTTCTCATAAATCTTTAATTTTTATAAGAAGATCAATAACATCTAGAGTTTAATTTTTATCTACTATGTAAAAAAAATATCAGTTTTTAACTAAACCATAACATCGATGTATAATAATAATCTTATAGCCAATTTCCATTATTGTAACACTCTAAACTGCATAATAATTAATTATAATAGAATTAGATATATCGAAAAAATATCAATATTTCGATACGTTGTGCCTCAATATTTTTAATCTTTGAAAGTAGATGAAGATGGTTAATAATTAATTGAAATATTTGATTGGTAATAGCAATAATTAAATATTTTTAATATTAATTAATGTATATAGATTTCCATGGAGATATTTTTAATATTTATCTTTGAGACATTTTTCATTTATTTTAATATTGATATTATAATATATTGAAACTAAACTATTGAACAAAAAATATTGATATATTTTTAATAATATACTTGCTATTTCACAAAATTGGGTTGAAATTTATTTAAAATAAAAAAAATATACGATACCTGTTGGCCAAACAGTATAAAACCAGGTTTGCAAGTGTACGTTGCTGTTGAGCCTGCCCTCTTCCCGGACACTTTGACAGTTGTGCCCTCGCTCATTGGAGGATCAGGACACCAGTCGACTACAGAACAAAGTATAATTTATTTTAAAGCTTTTAATAACAATAAATCGTCTATTGTTTAAATATTATATTAAATATTAATATTATTCAAAAAATTCTACTTACAGAGGCACTGAGGAGCCAATCCCGACCAAACACCACTGTCCCCGCAAGTTCTTTGTTCTTCTCCGACAAGGGTGTAGTTCGCTTCACAGGTGTAATTGGCTATTGCTCCATAGGATGTTCTGTTATTTATAAGAGTGATTTTTCCATGAGCCAATTCTGGCAGCTTTCCACATTCAACATCTGAAATTTATTTTTAATATCAATATCAATATGATATAATCATTACTAATACTAATTACCCACATCTACTTGAACTGTTACCGTGTTTTATTTTACTCACATTTGCAAGTTGGAGGTTCGCCAGACCAAAATCCTGAAGATGTGCAAACCCTTTCTGCATCTCCTATCAGCATGTGTCCTTCTGGGCAGTTATAGGTGATTGATGCATTTATACTGTGATTTGTTCCAGCTATTGTCGTATTTATATTCTTATCAGGGCTTCCACAGAAAAGAGGTTCTGTTTATAAATCAATAAATTTAAATTAGTCTTAATGAAACAAAGTCTCTTGGTAGGTTTTCGTGTTATCGTTATTATTAAAACAGATAAAAGATGATGAACAACTCTTAAAAATTTGTCTTTAGATTCATTTATAGACAGATAAAATTTCTTACTATTTCATTATTTATTTGTTGATCAAATTATAAATAGTAAGCCATCAAGAGGGGTGGTTGAGATGAGAGGCGGCCCAATAAAAAATTATAGCTTTGTATTATTTAATGTTTATCATTCCAGTTAATTTGTGGGCATAAATCAAATTTAAAAATCTTGTGCACTGCTCACATCACACAACTTTCACTTACCACCCTTTTCTTAGCAGAAATGAGTATTTTCAGACAAAGGGGAAGTGAAAGTAAAAATTATAGATGATATATTTGTTTATATTTCATTGTGGGTATTTTTATTTGTTTAAGTACTCTTATAAATACAAATTTTAATATTTATATTGATGTAATCTAAAAAATTAAATATTAAATAATACTAACGATACTAAGTATAGGTACATAAAATTGTCGGAGTTCGTATTATATTAAGCTCATGTTACTTATGGAAATCTGTTCTAATGTTTCGGGTGCTCCCGAGCTCGCCCTCTATTCCTTTGGTTCCACCATTACAACTATTATCCGTTACGATCTCTTATTTCTCCTTTAGTTAATTATCAAATTCTTTCATATTTTATATTTAATTATTTTTTTATATCCCAGATCAATGTGAAATGGTTAATTGTTTAAAATGAAAAAAAATTAAAGGTACTTTAGGCTAAGCTAATATTGAAAATTAGCCATTTAAGCCCTGTTAGAGAACATCAATGAGAATAAAACCTACATTATATTAAAAACTGCTTAATTTTACACTTATACAATGAATTCGATCAAAATCGTTGTAGCCGTTTTTGAGAAAATCGTAAAAATATGTTTAATTGATGATACAAAGTGCCGCATCCAGTTAGCCGATTTTGACGAAAAAGTTGCTGTAACATCCCAGGTATATACAAATTTCACTTTCGTACATTTCATTTTTGAGCTAGACTGTTAACACACACACAGACTATTTTGTGGGACTTGGTTATTTGGACTCAGGGGACCTCAAAACGTGTATTTCTGTTGAAAACTGAGATTCAGAAATTTTTCACAATAAAAATGAATACAATACTTTCCTTAACTATATACACTGACAGGCAAAAAATTCCACCCACTTGATTTTTTCATATTTTCATCTAAAAATATTTCTGCTTTGGATTGGTCTATTGTTTTTAATGAATAAATAGGTAATCTTTTTGTTTGTTTTCAATTAGGAATGTTAATATAGAGGACAATAATCCTTAATCCTTAATTCAATGAAATGATTCTAGATTCCAATGTTTACTTTCTATGGAATCAAAATGTTTATTCAGTATCATTAGTTCAGTGCCGTTTCTTGCAGCACATTTCTTAGTCTCCGGCTTTTAATTTTTTCAATATTAAGGTTAAAAATGCCTCTTAGTGCTGAGGATGTTGCGCGTGGTGTGGCACTTATTGATGATGGACGTTCCATTAGATATGCAGCTAATGTCATCGGAGAAAACTTGAACTATGAAACTTACGATGAAACTTTACGAGAATCCGTCAGGCGTTTTCGGGAAACTGATTCTTACAATAGAAGGCCCGGTTCTGGACGGCCTAGAGTAACAGAACCATGGAAGGACCGGTTTTTGACTTTGAGAATTTTATGAAACCGGCACCTTACCATTGTTCAAGTGATTCATCAGCTCGAAGAAGTTCGAGGTGTGCAAATTTCTGAACGTACCGCTTCGAGAAGATTAAATGAGTATGGATTAATGGCTTTTCGTCCGGTAAGAGGACCAGAGTTGACCAGAACTCACAGAGTAACACGGCTGGCTTTTGCTTGAGAACACAGCCATTGGACTATGGATGAATGGAGTGCTGTAATTTTTACAGATGAGTCAAGATTCGCTCTTCGATCTCCAAACGGGCCTGAAAGGGTGTGGAGAAGAAGAAACGAAAGATATGCAACCTGTAATTTTTCCCAGAGCCAACCTTTCCAACGTGGTTCCTTAATGGGTAACAAGTGGGTGGAAGTTTTTGCCTCTCAGTGTATTTCCTATACATATAGGTAAGTGAAAGTAAAAATTAGATATGATCATCAGAAAGTAAGTAATAAAAATACAAATATTGAAAATGTAATAGTGGGTTGAAACATGGATGAATATTACATAAACAATAATGTTATTTTTTTTTTTCAAAATCAAAATTTAAGTTTTACTAATGCTTAGGTATAATTTAAAGCATGTTTTTTTTTATGTTTGATATTTTTTGTATTAAATATGTTTCTGTAACATTAATATAAATGAATATGAACATAAAAAATTACTTACTGTGCTGGCAAATCCAATGTAAATAGTCAAGATTACAACCCACATCATTCCAAAGCCAATTGCTTCCTCCATCCAAAACTACGCAGTTCTGTTCTCCGTTGTAGTTGTTTGGTTGATCTTTACCCCAGGCTGGGCGACTGATTACTTCTCCTATATTAACACATTGACTCTTGTAGGACTAAATTTTTAGTGAATTCCAATAAATTATGTTTTTTTAAAATATGATTTTCTTACCATTGACCCATTTCCAAGTTCTAGAAGTGAAACCAGGTTCCTTATGAGCTCCAATCCAGACTAGCTGGGTCTTGAGACTAGGTTTCCGTCTCTCGAGCTCCGCTAAGAGGAAAGTGTTATGGACTCCTCTGAAACCATGAGCAAGGTCTCCTCCAGATCGTGATTTACAAGCCTTCCTAGCTTCTTCAAATGAACCTCCTTTTCCCACATTGAATTCATAACAAGTTCGATCGAAAGCTACAAATTCGACATCTGTGCCAACTCCGGTGACTGAGCAGCGATCGTTGGAGAACTCTGTAAAGGTTTATCAATGAAATTAAAGAAATCTGAAACTTTCCAATTATAAAATAAATGATTTTTCATACAAATAAATGTTTATAATCTAACAAATTTTTATGCAATTGTGTATTTTATTTTCATGGAGTTTTTAAATTGCTGATCAAATTTTTTTACAAATTGGTGTACTTAGATGCAAATAATTGAATTTTATACTTCCCATTTGATGTATGTAGTTGCATATTTGATGATTTAAATAAAGTAAAAATGAAAAGATAAGTAGAAAAAATTTAATTCTTTATCAGGAGTAGTATTTGTTATTATTTCCGATGCTAAAAGTAAGCACATTGTTTTATTCAAAATTCTTATCTTGAATCGACGGAACAAATTTTTAAACTCAGTGCTGAGCTTATCAACAGCATCAGATCTCCCTGTAAATTGGACATTGCTTAGCTCAATGTTTGATTTTAGGAACTTGTATATTGTTACAACACCAAAGATAAAAGCAGTATTGTTTAAAGCAAGTCTCTGGTAAAAACAAGCCGATAATTTGAAGATTACATAAATCTGTCCTGATCACATCTGTTGATGTAGAAATATCATTTTCTTATTATAAAAATATTTCAAACAACAGTGCATTAGCGTTTTATTCATTTAATATTGTCAATTATTTTTCTTTTTTTAATACATCAACTTATAGCTATTTTTCTTTTGTTACTAATTTCGTTACTTTGATATTTTAGTTTTTGAAAGTGTTTCTTAATATGGGTTTAAAATTAGTATACATATATTTTTATTTTATGTTTTAATTATTTTGGTTTTTGAAGGAAAGAAAATACAAACCAAGGAAATAAAAATTATTTAAGTTTTAAGGCTTTCTCCGATTTCTTTTTTGCCTTGTTACTATAGTTAAATTAGCATATTTCAGTGTTATAGCTGCGTTATTGTATATTTGGGGATATTTTGTTGCATTTTTGATGTTTTTTTATTGCAAATCATATGGCATATTCGGCTTATTTTTATTGCATAAAAATCCGAGCTCTTTTTACAGCATATTAATATCATCTTTTATAAATAGAAAAATATTTAAATAACAAGATAGTATATATTAATTTACAACTGAAAGAGTACCTGCAGTAGTGAATGCTTCTACTTCACACAAGGATAATGATCCCTCGACACCGACTAGTTGGATGAACACATGCTGGCCAATAAGTGATCTTGCGCAAGTGAAGGTTTTAGTAGTCCCTTCCTCTGTTAACAGAATAAAAATATATAAAATTTATCATTATGATAATTAAAAAATATCTTATTTAACTGTAGTTTAAAACAGACCTATTGTTCCTGGGTACCAGGCACACAGTGGATTTCTTTGAAGATCTGAACTGCTGTTTCCTACACGGATCTCGAGGTCTTGCAATGGCTGCTGACCTGTTTTGTAACATAAGGATTTTTATTAGCTATATAATATTTAATTATATTAAATGATGTATATCTATTTATTTTATATTAATTTATCCATTCTAATACCAGATAAGAGATATAAACATAATGAATAAGTTAATAAAAAATAAATAGATATATGAATATGAAAATAAAACAGGCAATAAAATAATAAAGATGGGAGATGCCAAAAAAAATAAGAAAAACAATGGTTTGACAATGGGCAAAAACAAAGTAGATAACATTGCTGTATAGTGAAGAAAAAAGGAATAGAAGACGGATGGTTGATTAAATTGTTAAATATAATTTCCTTATTCATTTATCAGTTATCCATAGATAACTAAGGAAAGAAAACAAAGTTTTAAAAATTACTCTTTTAGTGGTAATCTCAGATTAAAAGAGCTAGCCATGTGTTGAAGATAATGGTGGGTTCCTTTAACTTAAAATCCACGATGAATTTGATCTCTGAACACTATTATAAATGTCCTTTGAGACAGAATGTAATATTTTTCAATTAAAAAAAAAAATGTGGTTTAACTTTTTTTCTTCATTTATTTATTAAACTGTAAATTTAATATTAATATAATGCTGGATGTAAAATTTTCTCTCAAAATCACTTAAATTAAAAGAATGATATTGGAATTACTCAAACCCATAAGACCTAAAGTTCTGAAAAATAATTCTTATATGTTTGGAATTTCATTACATTTTAGATACAAAAAATAATACCACTCTCTTTGTAATATAATTGAGTTTTTTCAATTAATTTTTAAAGAATCAAGAATATGAACTGTGTGATTTTGGTTCACGGACCACATTGGTACCTCCACTAAGTTCCATGAGCCACGGCTTATGATGAAAAGAAAAACGCTTATTCTAAAATGAGAGTTCAGTTGTAAAATGAGCTTTTAAAGAGAAACAACTCATGCAATAAAGGTTGTAGTAATCTTGAGTTTGAGTGATTTACTAAATTTCATATTTTTAATATATTTTGAAGACTCTTGATTTAGGGGATGATATCAAATTAGTTGAATAAACCTAGCTAACATACAAGAAATATGATGTTGAATAAAAAGGTTTATGCGAAATTGAATCCACTAATGGTTCAGTAGAAAAACCTATGGCATAAGAGAAAAAAAAAAAACAGTTCACTACACAGTCAATTTAGAATAAGATTAGGAAAAATATATGCATACATTTATTTGGAAAAAGCACTATAGGGTAAAGAAAAGGAAATTTCTTTGAAGTTTTACATGTAAAAACTTAAATATTGATGTTAATATAGTTTTCATGGATTCATCTTATAGAACTTTTTCTCACCTTACCAAGACATATTTCAAATCCATGAAACATTAATCTAAATTTTAAAAAATTGAAAATTAAGAGAATAGTTTTGTTGCACCAGTAGCTGACACTGTTTGGTTTGAAATGCTCTGACAGAGATTAGAAAACAAATGCAATTAAGGAAAATTTCATATTTCTCACTTTTAGATTAACAAAAATTACTTTTAACTTATTATAAAACTAAACTTCTTGCGTTTCCTGACTTAAATTTATCAATAAATGTTGGTCACTGTCAAGAATCTGTTTTTGGCAATAGGAAAATCTATTTTTGCTTTATATTTAATCCAAATCATTAGCAATTTTTTTTTAACGAGACAGTAGTGAATGGTCCAATTTTTAAGTCCCGTTATATTGGGCATATCTCTTTAATTAATGAGAGTAAAGGCCTGTCAACTACTGGTAAAAGTCCTCATTATAAGGCTCCAGTAACTGACACCCATTAAATATCCAATTCCTTCAACAAGATAAGTTAAAAACAGACAAAACATATTTTACAAACACGCCAAAAACAATCAAACAAAAATTTTGGGATAAATCTTAGTTGTTAAAGATAAAAAGGCAAACCTAAGATATGGTGCTCTTACTGACAGATGGCTGTTCCTGGGACACTAAGTGGACCGTGAGGGATCTTCCTAATTTGTCACTCATTATTTCAGTTGCGATTTCCGGCAAGATAAACTAAAAATATAAACTAAACTATATAAACTAAAAATATATTACAAAGAGGTCTAGGAGGTTCTGAAATTTTATTATTCCCATTTTTCAAGGAGGGCGTCAGGTATCGGTACAGTGTCAACTATTGATGCTTTTACCCTACTTATAAGTAACTTGCCGTTTGTTAATTTCAATAATGAATTTACAGAAATTTTTCTTTCAATAATTTTTTTTCTTTATAAGTATTCTTTTGTCTTTACAGATAAATGTTCAACCTAATAAGCTTTATTCATCTTAACTAATCTTAGAAGAGAAGAATGGTTGGAGTGATCGGTAAACAAAAAAATAAATAATTATATTTATTTTTATACTTGCCAACGTTTCGCCCTAAAGTTCAGGCCTTCATCAGGGCTAAGAAAAAAACAGGTGACAATAGGTATGAGAAACTATAAACTATAGTTCTCTATTACTATTATTATTCTACTTACTTTATTTTACTTTAATGTTCACTCTATCTATTTTATTTTAATTTAAGTTTATTATAACTACATTTTTTAGTCTATAACTTCACCGTTTTTTACTTTAATTCTATATTATTCAATGTTTATAGTTCTCATACCTATTGTTTATTGTTTGTGTTTTCTTACCTGATGAAGGTCTGAACTTTGTCAGATACGTCGGAAAATATAAAAATAATTTAATTATATTTAATTTTTATTTTGACTGATCACCCCAACCATTATTCTTTTCAATTATTCACTACAATCAACCATCAATCCACAATTAACTAATCTTAATTTAATTTAGTATTTCGGTCAATATAAGCCAAATTAAGTTTGTCAATAGATATACTTATTATGTTTATTTGCAAGCTTTCCCATTTTCCAAAATCATACTAAGTTTGACTTTCATTTATTCTAGTCACTTGCAATGTGGACAATTATCGGTTTGCGAAGGGTAAAGGTCATTTGTTAATTGTTTTTAAATCTTCTCTTTTTGACATCGTAAAATGAAAGCTGTTAAAAATTATAATGTTACAGTTTCTTTCATTCACAAATAAGATGATGTAGAAATTTTAATGGCAAATGTGACAATTCCCGAAAAAAGTTGCAGTGATGTTAAGATCATTCCGTCATACTAATAGAAGAATCATTAATTTTTTGACAAGCATTTTAATGTAAAGCATTTAGTCGATAACTTAAAGGCCTATGGAATCGATACAGCTTGTTGATATTTTGCTCCCTACAAACGATATTTTAGTAGCAAAATCTGTTAATAATCGATATTAGTCCGGACTGTAGATAGGCAACAAACCAATTCATGCAGGCGTTGCGGGTCGGTACCTTGGTGAATAAGCTCTAAAAGTGTCTTCTCTTAAATATATTAGTGTGTTATTTACCCCAAAAATTCATTTATAATTTCAAAATGAAACAAAATAAAAAAGGCTTATATTAATTAAATAATAAATTAAATTAAGATTAGTTAGGATGAATAAAGCTTATTAGGTTAAATACTTACTTGTGAAGAACAAAGAATACTTATAAAGAAACAAATTATCAAAAGAAAATTTTAAATATTTCTTTAAGGTCATTATATCAAATGGAAAGTTAACTTTTTTGATATTATTATTTATTTATATATTCCACCCTCCCATGCCACTATGGCAATACGGGTGTTTGCAATAGTGTGTTGTTAAGCATGAATGCTTAATAACACAGTACTACTAGTTAACATGATGTGCACACATCTAGCAGTTCTTCTGTTCTATCTTCTTCCTTCTTGTTTATCGGTTTCGGTCTAGCTTCCAGAATCTGGAGGACTTCCTGGCGCTTCTCTTCTTCTGCGGGCACCAATACGGAAGTGAGCGGGTCACACCGCCATCTTCCATCCATTTATGAAATCTTAAATCCTGCAAACTGAGGAATCTCATTTTCAGTGAAGACATAGATTCTCGCGACTCTTGTCAGTGCAGGAGGAACACAACTGGTTGGGCATAGAGGATCTACATCACTAGCGGATTCAGGATTTATTTTTGGGGGGGAGGCTTCAGCCCGAAAGATTTTTTTTTTCATATATATAACGATAATCAATTTTAAAAACAAAGAAGAAAGAAATGAACTATCTATATGAAATGGCGTTTAAGTGATTTTTGAAGTCCTATTAAATGTAATTACACGAACAATAATACTTTAAGAGATAGTTTTTAATATTTTTTTCTATAAAACATGGTTATATTTTACCGTTTTGGGGAGGGGGCTTCAGCCCGAAAGCTCCTCCCCGTAAATCCGCCCGTGATCTACATCAATGCCCAAACCGTGGAGTTTAGCTCGAAATCCTCTATGCCCAGCGAAGAACTGGGAGAAATACAGTAATCCGGGAGGACCCACATTGCCTAAAGCCTCGACTGTACCGTGGGAAAGAACTTCCTCAATGTACTTCCTTTAGGGGTTGCTACCCAGCCCCGGTTCCATGCTTCAATCATGTTCTCCCGGAGTATCTTCTTCCATCTATTAGGCGCATCCATAATCCCTATCTTTAGATTGTCCGAAAGTACTGTAGAGCCTTCCATGTTATAAGAATATTTTGTCACTTCTTCTAGCAGGAGGAGGTCGAGAGGCACCACCCCCGCTAGAACCTGCACCGCTTCATGCGAAGTTGTCCGGTATGTTCTGGTGACCCGAAGCAGAGCTGTCCTCTTAGTCGAGGCTAGCCTTTTTTTTGTCGTAGTGTGAGGTTACGGAACCAGAAAGGAGACGCATACCTCAGGAACTATTAACTTAATTTAACTCAAACTATTAATTTAAAATACAAAAGAAAAAGAACACTTAAGTCTATAAAAATCTAAAAAATAGAAGAAAGTAAAGTTGTCGTTCTAAACACTGTATCCTGTAACTATTAAACAAAAACTACGTATTAATAAACTAACAAAATAAGAAAATTTGACACTTTTGAGGTAGCTATTGACTAAGCTAGTAGAAACGACAACAGAAAAAAAGACAACTCATGTCCTCATTGTCACTGTTATTACAGATATTATTCTAACTAATATAGTGTGGAGAAATTTGGAAAATATAAATAGTAGCCATGCTTACCACAGCACCCCCTGGTGGTGATCCTGACCACCCTCACCGGGTACGGCCTGAGGAGGTCGACCTGCCACCATGGCGAGGGCTCCTTCATCGTCTCCGTGCACTTCTTCCCGTCGTGGACGGTGGTCTTGTCCCCGTCGTTGGCGTTTGTAGCGGCACCTCCGCGCACCGTCGTCGACTGGTTGGCCGGTCTCCGCAGCGCCACGTTAGTACCTGCAACAAGGCATTTAAGTCTTCACCAAAGTCTTCTTTTAGGTAGATAGATAGGAAATCATGTATTTTAAATACACAACATAAATAAGCAAATACATTAAGTTCCTTTTATTATACACTGATCGTCCATCAGAAAGTTTTTTGTATTTGTATTTTTTACGAAATTAAAATATAAAATACTTTCAGTTAAGACTGAGGTTCTACGGGCACATGGTCAGGATGAATAGTGAAAGACTGAACAAGAAAATTTTTGACAAAGTTTGTAACTATAAAAGTATGGGGAGACATGTAAAACAAATAAAAGAGGAACTAGACAGGATAAAAATCACGAATAAAGATTGCTTGGATAGAGAGCTTTTTAGTGAAAAAAAAAAACTGAAAGGGGTTGGGGTTCTTGTAGGTGGGAGGGAGAGGCGAGGGACTAAATGGACTAAGGAAGAGCGAGAGGAACAGTCCAGGAGGATGAGAGAGTATTGGAGTAGGAGGAAGGCTGAGGGAATGAAAAGTTCGTGGAAAAAAAAATACTTTCAGTATTTTGTATTCTAAATACATTTTCTGAAAACAATTTAAATACTATGTAATTAAAGTACATTGTATTTTAAGAACGAAAAATACATAGTATATTAAATACTGTATTTTAAAATACATTTTGCCTAGGTCTGATAGAAAGTAATTTATTTTTTTATATGAAGAATCAATAGAAGTGAACATATTAAAAAGACGAGATTAATATATGAGAAATATAAATTATAAATAATAGATCATTATAAAGAGGATGGGATGTTGAACAATTTCCTCGCTTACAGTATGCAGATCCGATTTTCAGTTTCTGAGATATTTCAATCCATATCTTCCATAAAACTCGTTATAATTTGGTTTTCGACACTATTTTCTTCTTTTCGGCTCTCTAACACGGCTTCGCTTTAAGATACAATTTTTAATAATAGCCAAATATAGAGAGAATAAAATGTTGAACAATTCCCTTACTTATAGTATGCAGATCCGATTTTTAGTATTTGAGATATTTTAATCCATATGCAAAAAAACATCAATTAGTCGACTCCTACCGACTTTATCCGAGCGTTATACATTGGAGATCTGACGGTTCGATCTAATTAACTCTCTACAAAAAAAAAAAAAAAAAAAAAAAATGGAAAACGTGCCTATAGAAGTTTTCACTTAACGAAAGAAACTTAACATAGTGAAAACTATTTTATTAAGCCGGAGTTTCGACCCAGCTGGGTTTATAGTCGGGATAGATCTCCGTGGGAAAAAACCTAGTCAAATATATATTTTTTCTTTAGACTAGGCAGTTTCGCATGGAACTCAATCCCACAGCCCTGATGAAGACCTGCATAATTGGGTCGAAACGTTGGCTTTATAAAATCGTTTTCACTACTTCAAATTTTTTTTTTTATGATCCCATCCATTTTAAAGTAAATAACCAAATAATTGAGCTAAAATAAATCCTTCGAAAGTCAGTTGCCGGAACTTACTGAACTATCGATAGTGACCATCTATCATAGTCCATCCCTAATTTATAATATTCAAACATTACAAAGAGGTATACAAAAAAATGAGCTTGGCATAACTCAATAACCGATCAGTAACGAGTGTTCGAGATCGAAGCAATCGATTACAGTGTTTTACGAATTATGTCCTATGCTTTTCACATCTCATTTCAGTCAACAACTTAATCTGAATATTTCGGATGGCCAATCGTTGCCACAAATATTTTGTTGAACAACCCAAACCGACGGAACTAGCAGCGCTCACCGCTTACTTTAGATTGGAGGATAATTTAGCCAATTGCCGGAATTTATACCTCTTTGCTTCTAAACGAAAATAAACAAAACAAAAATATCAGGTGTCGGAACCATTAATGTCGAAACCGATTCTCTCGGCCATTTGATAATGTCACTAAATGATCGGATATGATTCTGCTCTCGTTTCCCTTAAAAATTCCGAGGTCCTTTTTTTTCTATTTGGAATACACTATCAACATTCTTCGTCATTATGGAAGAGGAGAGGGTACCAATCAACAGTACTTATAATTTTGAAAAAAAAAAAAATCTTTCTCAGGGTACCATTAAATGAAAGAAACTGGGAGGCAAAAAAAAAAAAAAAAATCGAACGCTTTGATCGCGTAATGGTTAGATTGTTTTTAGTATATCGTTTATAACTGGCAAAGAAATGTCTAGAGATCATGCAAATAGCAATCTGGTATATGAAATAAACCTTTAATGAGCGAAGTATTTCTATGACCACGACAGTACTTATTAAATTAATTCCAAACAGAATTTTCTTTTCAGTATTATTATTTATTTTGTTTTTTTTCTCGAGAATAGATTACGTACGCTAATGTTTGAATGATTCGATATATTTTCAAGGTTCATTTGAACTATCTATAAATTATTTAATTGGTTGAAAGAAGTCCTTCAACTATTACAATCGTACTAAGAATATCATAAGCCATCAAGATAAACATTTATTTTTATAATTAATCAAAATGACAGGTACAAGTAATGATGAGAATGATAACTTACCACACAATGGTAACTCTCCTTGCCATTTTCCATTTGCTGCACACGTTGTCGTTGGGTTCCTGAAATAAAAATGACGCCTTTAGTGATATATATGTTGATTTCAAAAGTTTATTAGTTTTTGTTATTGCTAATTATCATTAATTAACGCTTATGATGTGACTGTTAATTATAATGTATCGGGTATATGTAAAGGGAGAAGATCGGCAAGTTCGGGCGTTCTCGGTCGTTTCCGTATAGCTTCCAACCTTTATTTTTCCTTTACTTAGCAATAAATTTTTTTCATTCATTATATGGAGCCCGAGGCAAAAAAGGTTTCATGTTTCGTACTAAGCATTGTCCTTATAAAATGATCATATCCACAGGCCTGATTAGAAAAATGCAGCATATAGCTGCTGGAATACAAAATGTCGGCCATGTGAAGATATATAGAGACCCTACATAGTTTATAAGCGTATATATAGAGAGAGAGCTTATAGATTTATAAAGCTACCAACCCTTTCAATTTATAGTATTTACAGTCTTAACACATGAAATAATAACTGAATGTTGTCAATTACCCTATCTATAACCATGGATTTCAAGTCGAAAAATTGAATTTACAATTCAAAAATTTTACTTTTTTAGGTTTTTCACTTGTATCAGTGAAACTATGCGTTATATCTATAATAATGTCAAATGTGAAATTAAAGCTGACAAAATTTTTAATAAAAATATTTATATTAGTTTTTTTCGCTGTATTCTATAGTTTCCGTGATATCTGTCTTTTTAATTCAATAATTTCGAGAAAAAAAATTACATCGCATTTTTTATCAATATTTGATTCGCCAACTCTTTGTCTTTTCAATTTAAGAAAAAGTCATGAGGAAGAAGTTGTTTAATATTAAATTTTCTTTAAGATTATGTATTATTTTACTATCTTATCTTCAACCATTAAAAGGCTAGAGAAATTATAATTTAATGATTAAATTCCGAAACTATACAGAATAGCATACTTTTCGCAATGTTCGTTATTACACAGCTCTTAATCTGTATATAAGACATGTATATTATGTAAGCTAATGTATACACAGGAATGTTGTCTTGCGATATCGAAGTACCCAATTTTATGACAGGCATCAGTAGTCAAAACCCTACAAAATAAAAAAAGAAACAACAAAATCAGTCAACTGGTTCCCGAGATAACCTTGGCAAAGACAGACAGACCAATGGTTGGAAATGTTTCACGACCATTTCATAGTTGGTTATAAAATAGGAGATCTGCTAAGATGATGGGTATCCTGTGATGGGACGATGTGAGGACGCTAACATATTTTTTTCATTGCAAGGCGATTTATAGATCGCAAATTTAATTTAATGTCAGAATATGTTTTTGTTTATTATATATAAAACAAATAAATATTATTATTATTGTTATCATGTTGAAACTTACCCGAATAGTTCATATCCTTCGTCGCATGTATAGGTGGCCACTGTGCCCGCTGTGAGGTTGTTGTTGGACAGCGTTAGCTTGGTGTTCATCGGCACTGGTGGGTGACCGCATTTCGTTTCTAAAAAATAATAAAAATAAAATTATTTTATTATAAAAATACTGTATCACAATTAATATATGTTTAATACAAATATTTGTTGAGCTTGCGACATATATCTGATAATCCCATGACCCAAACAGTAGGAAAGTATGACAAGAAAACACACGCATAGCGTACAAAACACTGTGTATGTGTGTGTATAATTTTTTTAAATTTATCTTATTGTACATTATATAATGTTTTATGCACCTTAATGACAGTAATATAGTTTTTATGTTATAAGTTATGTAGTTTTTACCTACTGTATAAAATGGACTTCTGCCTAATAAATAGCAATCAAACCACTATTATAACATGCGTAAGATAATTGTAACCACAAGCATGCAATCATTATGACGTAATGTGTTGCATATATATGTAAATCAAATAATTTATTTAATATATATGGGTATACTACTGGTTATACAGGGTGTTGGTTAAGTGGCCAAACTGAAAATATGAGTTAAGTTAAATACCAATGTTTCGGTCTACATTTCAGGCTTTCATCAGGGCTGATCGTTCAAACCATATCGGAAGGGTCAGTAGTGCAATTTAGTCTCAATATGTGTAATACCGAGACCATGTTGGACATACGGCGTATGTACGTAGAACTTTGGGGTTTACCAAAATTCTTAGAATAATAGATATCTTATGATCCAGAAATATATCTTATAATGTCTTGGAGATATTTGTCAGTTCTTGTCTTTTTAATTTCGTATTTATGCTCTAAATGATCCTTTTGTCCAAGCAGAGTCTGAGATACTGTACATATTTTTTTTTCTGGCATTGGTTTGTTGTCGGTGGTTATAGTTGGACATAAAGCTCTGTTCTGGAGAAACATCATGAATCAATGGTTTTAAAAGGCAGAAGATGCTAAAGTTGAATTTATATGGAAAAACAGCACTGTTGTATCGTCAGCGAAGGAGAAGATACAACAGGTAAAGATGATAGTGCAGGGATACTAAGGTAAGTAATATCAGAGATGTATAAAGAACAGAGGATTGGGCTTAAGACACTACTTTGTGGTACGCCAATGTTTTGGTTCCGACAAGTTGAATTTCTTCATAATCCCCAGATAAGGCAACCACGCGCCGAAGAAGCTGGTGACGTTGGACGAACAGCGGCGATAAATTAGATGAGATAGAAGCGAAGATGGAGAACAATATGGCGACACAAAGGAAGAGCAGCGAGATATGGAAACTAATCAATTGGTGAGAGATCTAGAGCCGGTACAGTTGGCTTCATCCATCCTCAGGCACAATGGTTCCGTCCTCAACATCTGATAAATTTTTTCCGAGTCATCCTCCGCCTTTTAACTCATCATAATGCCGCTCCTCTTGTATCCGAGACAATAAGTCGCCTCCCAGGAGTCACTTGGTGTTTAGCCAATATTATAAGTAGAAAATGGAGTATAAGTATGGACAGGGTGTCCCGTAAGTAGAGGGAAATATTTAAAAAGTTTGGTAGTAGACATCAAGATCTACAAAGAAGTTCATATGAACAATTTCCCAATTTCCAGCAGAAAAGTAGGAAATTTAAGATTTATGTTTTTTTAAAGCGAGTAACGTTTTTTGTTGACGAGGAAGTGATAACTTAAAAAATATTTGATTTAGGTAACTAAACATTGCTCCATAGTAAACTACACAAATTTAACTTAAACGAAAGGTAAAGTTTGTCATTGTTAAAACTATTTAAAGAGAATTATTAGGCAGACAAACACAGTTACGTTACGTTTAAAGAAAAGTCATAAATTATTTGTGATTTTTTCTATCACTCTTCAACTGTACTAAATTTACCCCACTTTCAGGAAAACTTCCTCGTTTAATAGGCTTTAAGTTCACATTAATTAAGTTGAGGTTTATCAAGAAAACATTTTGAGATTCACCTGAAGTTGTGAAAGATATGACGTTATTTTCTGTACGGTTACCTAAAAGTATCCGCGTTTTTAGCAATAATGACTACAATTAACTTGCTTAATTTCTTCTTTTCCCGTGATATGGGATGCATATTAATAAATGTAATTGCCTAAGTACCCTTTTTATTTATAAAAATTAAAAATAAGGACTTTTTAAATATTTTTCACGTATAGCGGTCATGAAACTGTATTATTCTTCCAGATCTCCGACACAGGAATTGAAGAACCAATTCTCATGATCACAAAACTTATTATTCTGAAACTTATTATAATTGAAAGGAATTATAAAACTTTTAGCGTAAAGGTGGTCTAATTTTCTTTATATCTAATCAAAGTAAATTGTCTAATAATGGAGTTATATATTTTAGTAAGTCAAAAAAATTATTTATTGATGAGTTACATTATTATCAGAGTACCCCTTTTTCCTTAAAATAGTCAAGTTAGATGAATTTTAATACAGGATTGTTGGAGAAATCTTCTCAATGCAATATTATTTTTAAATTAATTTCTTCTTATTACAAATTATACAAAATAAGCTTTATCAATCTCTAGCAATGGTCAGATAAATAGTTGTGTGTTAGCCGTTACGTGTAAGAGAAAGTTGTGCGTTAGTTGTGAACGCATGTGGTTGGGTAACTGACCATAATTCGGTTGTTTGTTTTCTATAACTAACAATCTTAATATAAAAAATAAATAAGATAATCTATTGTGAACAATTATAATTGGTTGAAATATCTGCAGACAAATTTCTAAATAATTTCATCTTTAGATATCTTTAAGCATATTCAAAGTAGAGCTAAGGGATTCGGCCTAAAAACAACAAAGAATTCAGATGTTGCAGTCAAAATCATTACGAAAAGTAGTAGACGCACCATTCTTTGATAAGAGATAAATGTCTGGTACGCAAGGACTTGAATAATTCAATAGATTCAGATATTGCCACGCGAGAAAAAATTTTCATCTCGGATTGAATTACAAGATGTTTGTGAACATCTAGCTCAAAACGAAAAGCCGTACGAAAATTAAAATACATATATGTAAAATATATGCCTGGGATGTTCCAGCGACTTTTTTCTTAAAATCGGCTGACCAGAACAACGATGTTTTAAGCGAATTACTAAATTGATTTTTAAGTTTGATGGTTCCAATTATCCGTTGAGATCTATTGTTTTGAAAAAAAAACCTAACAAAAATGACTCCAGAGAAAATAAGTTTAATCAATTTGCTTAAAATAATGATTTTTTTTTTTTTAGTGAACGGCTGATTTTTAAGTTTGAGGGCTCATTTGAATTTGGAACAGTCACTTTTGTAAATGACAACGTAACTATAAACAATTTATAAACATCAACTATAACATTACTATCAGGTTTTACTTAGGCAGTTATGTGATATGAACTTAATGAAAAATCTCCGGTTTTCTCCATCTTAAGGACGATTCTCTGAATTCGAAGCCATAACAATGGTATTATATTAAATTGGAATTACATGTAAAGAAATACTGCAATTATGAATACTTTTTTTTTTTTTGGAAAGAATAAATGGATTTTAAAAAAATATGTATATAAAGCAAATAAAAACCTGATATTAAAGCATGGATATATCTGTCGCTCACTTTTATGCTCCATGATCAAGCAACCTTCTAGCTTATAAAAGAAATGATCATAATGGTTGAGTAAGCATATAACACATGATATAACTACTTATGTCAATCGCTGTAACGACTCTTTACAGAAACGATACTGATAAGGTATTGTAGACATAAAATTTATTTTAATCTACAATATATTGACCATTATTTAATATGACTTTTTCCCCATTTTTACACAAACTGCATAATGCCATGTTCATAGAATGTCTGCAGTTAATTGTTAAAAAAACTGATCCAAGTGGTGTTTGATGTCCCCTTCCTTTTGGAATATCTTTCTATTCATGGAATTCTGCAGAGATTGGAATAAGTGGTAGTCACTTGAAGCTAGGTCTGGTGAATAGAGAGGGTACAATTTAAGGTAAAACAATTTTTTATATGTATATATGTTTTATCAATATTTTTACTTATTTATTTATTTCCATTGTTATATATATATATATATATATATATATATATATATGTATTTTTTTTTTCTTTCTATTAAACCTACCAGCTAAATATTTTAATAATACTATTTTATGATAAGGCGCTGATGAACTAGATGTTTTGCGCCTATAACATCAAAACAACCAACCAACGTATTGTAAAAAGGCTAAACAGCGTTTAATGTTTAAACACTGCAATGTGTTTAAACGATGTTTAGCTGTTCCAACAGTGAATTGTAAAGTTAGTCCAATATGGACCTATACTTCCTGTACATGTTCCCATACAACCGACAAGTTTCTATCACCAACAGATATAGAGATCGAATGAGGGCAGATTTGATTATTGAACAATTATTTAGCATATAAAAAATATGGTTATTAAAATTTTGTGTGCATAATAATATTTTTAAAAAAGTATACTTTTCTCTTTTATTGTTTTATCTTGATATTTGAGCTAGGTTCCCTGGAACTATCCGGTTCAGCAACACTGTTAATGGACGTGTAATTATTTAATTATCCACCAGTGTTGCCAACGTAAGCTGGGCAGAATTGTATTAAGAAAGGACCTGCAATCTGCAGCAGACCGAACTCACTGCTCCAATTATCGGCTTGCATCAGCGTCCTCAGGGTACAAGACATCGCTCGCTACTTCTGTAGTAATGGAACAAGAAAGAACTTGATGAGTCATCTACCATTATCCTGCTTCAATTCACCTTGATATATAAAATGTATTTCTCAACTGAATTATTCCTACTCGTATACTGTGTATTATTCTTTGAAGTAGAAGTAGTGGTACAGACCCCTTTTTATCAAATTATTGACATCTGCTCAAAATTTCGTGAATAGCTTCATCTCATTGTAACCTACAAAATAAGTATAAAGCTAGGAATGAGACATAAGATAACTATGCTATTGAATTATTTATGTAATTCTTATTTTAAATTTTTAATAGAATATTTATAATGTTGTAAATAGAATATTTGATGCTCTA